CACGCTTGGTGATCACAAGGCGAACGAACCGGCGCAAGTAACGGAGCGCTGTCCGAATCGTGACCGTTTTGAGTCGTAGAGAAGACGAGATAAACAGCGAAGTACGATTTTCCTCTCGTACTTTTGAAGCGTGAAAACCCTTCAGCACAGAATCGAAGCGTTTCATGTCCGATTGCACAGAGGCTTGATCTGTTTTTCGTGTTTCGCTCTTGGACACTTCATTACGGCAGTGACCACGGACGGTAATAGGGGCATTTTTTCCAAATCCATTTTATTATATTTTCTTCATCGCGACCCCCGGAGCGAATTTTCACATCGTAACATTCGATACAAAATTAATTGTAAGCAACTCGATGCGAGAGCGTCTCAACAGGATCGCAGTCGGAGAAAATTAAACGATGCTCAGCACCGGTTTGAGCCTGGGAGACCTCGAGCGAGGCTTCCGAAAGCCGTGGCGATAAGTGAGCGCTTCAGGCCCGCGCGACGGGAAGTTCAGTGGATGTATCAGGCGAGCGGAACTCAGCTCGGATGCTTCTGTTCCTCCGGGTGAGCTGATATCGAGAAGGCGATTTCGGCTGAAGCGCAGGTCGGCTGAACGAATCGGAATCATCGTCTCTGACAAGACGTCAACGACAGCGGCGGTGGAGACGTCGACGCTGCCCACACCGAAAACCAACGGTTGCTTACTAAACTGAGCCGTCCGGCAAAACTCCTTCAACAACGAATGGCAAAATACTTTTTATGACAACGAGTTGTCGAATGTGTCAAATCTAAAAATGGCACAACTTTCCTCGTGTCCGATTCTGACTTGGCAAATTCCTACTCATGCGATCGGAAGGACGGCCTCAGCGGACACCAAACATCGCATCGGGGCATCATATTGCCTCACAGTTTTCTATATGTCAGAACGACCTGTATCGAAATTGGGAGCTCCACATCCACATTGCGAGCGCTGAGACATCCACAATGGGGAAATAAAGCGAACGAATGAACGAAACCATGAGGATCGAACCACGCGCGGATCCGCGAATTTAGGGGGGGGGGGCGAATGATGGGGATGGGGGGCAACCGAGAGAGCCGTTTCTAGGGTCTGCTTCAACATGGGTATATGGGCAGTCGGAACTCTCGAGGGGGGTCCTCTCGGTTCCGCCACTGGACCGAACCGGGTCTGTCTTGATACGCACGAGCCGACCTGGGGCTTTCCAGATACTGCATGTCGTGCACCCGCCCCCCTTTTGGTAGCGATCTAGATTTATCTGTTCAGCTCCCGAAAAGTTCTTCGATGTCGATAGCACTGGCGAAAGTGTAAATCGAAGATTCGCATCAGTGGACGCAGACAATCGATGCCACGCTTGTTGTGCAACCCCTAGTTCCAGGCTGTACTGTGACTTCCTTCTCGATCGGTTCCACTGAGCCCAGGGAACTCATTCGTAGTTCGCTGATCCCAAAGCCACCCGCTCCGCTACTGAATAGCAAGAAGGAAAGCGAGGTCGAAGAGTTCGAGTTTTGTGATATCCCTTCGTCGAGCATTTTCCTCTACGTCTGGAGCTCAAGAGCGTCGAACCCTCTGAATCAGACGGAACGCATTATCAAAAGCCGAAAGCTCTTCCCAGGACCGTCAAATTAGATGTTACTGCAGAGACAAAGGAGAATGTTCAATTCACACGCTGTTCGCCCAAAATTTTCATAACATTGCGACTCTTTCCAAATACTTTTTGTGGAGCCATGAGCTTCTAGAGTTCCACTTATACGACATTCATTACAACCGTTGGACAGTGTTGAAACGCTCGGATGAATACGCATGCCTCCCGATTGCTGGCCAAGCAAGGAGGACACCGAACTGGTCCCTCTGTTGTTATTGTTCATGTCTTCGATATAACGGTGAGATAAATTAAAGCAATAAACGTGATGAAACGGAAAACACATAAAATCTATCTCGCGCGAGGGAGGGAGGGAGCCGCTCAGAATGTTCGCTTGAACGGAGATATGATTAAAAAGTCTATAATCTCGCTCCGTGAAGCTTCGTTGCTTAGTTCGGCGGCCGCTCGGATCCCTGCTTGACTGCCCGCCTGCCAGCCAGCCGGTGGCTTGCTCCGTCAGTCTCATCTGTCGAGTGTCGACTCGACAACGCCGGCGTCGTCGTGGTCATCAATGTAGCCACTTCTGACCTGGGGCATTTTGCCAGTGTTCATCTGTTCTTGAGAAAAATCGCAATGATTTCAGATCGAGCAGATCGCCCAGAGCGACATTAACAGTAATAAACTCCCAGAACGTCAGTTCAGCGGCGTTGCTGATTTTGAGACAGATCGCATAAAAATCGGCAGGAATGATAGGCTAGACATTGATCCTGCGGCGAGGGACGGGACACGAGACTGCGCGCCACAGAATTTCCAGACCGAGGTGACTATCACCTCTCGCTGTCCTGAAAGCATCCACAACCTACGGCTCGTTCTCTAACGATTTCTAGAGCCGTCATGCCTTTCGTAAGGGGACTGGAGTGTCCGAGTCGGTCGCGGAACATCCGTCGGCGACAGTCAATCGAACGGACACAGCTCGAGGATGAGAATGTTGTATTTCATGCATTAGGTGTATTTAAATTCGTATCATTGTTCCGAAAGACAATAAGCGCGCATACGCTCGTTACTTATCCATCGATCGGTTAGTCGACCGATTTTCAGTCGCTCGCAGGGCTTGACGCAATCCCTAATCCCCCAATCGACCGATAACTGTCCTGAACAATGAGCGTGTGCACCAAGCATTTGGTCTCATTTTCCGTAATGATTGCCATCAGTGATGGGGAGGGATGGCAGCGAATGAAAAGACCCAATATTTCATACGCTTCATCCTCCTCGAGTTGAGAATATGAAGGAGTCCTGGTCCGGGACCTGAGCTACGACAACGACGATACGCTCATCCCGCCACGGTGTCTCCGTCCCGCCGATCTCCTCCGCTCTCCACGTCCGAACCAATTTTGCTCGATGATGCAACCGGAGCCACGCCTGTCTTCACCCTGATCTCGATTACTTTCGAAGGCATGCATTCCCGAAGCCCACCGTGACAGAGTCAAAGGGCGTAAGTTTAAGTTGCATGCGGTGCCTTCTAAACTCATGCTCCCCCAAGCGTACGTACCGGTCGCTGCATAATCGCGTCGCGGAACGCGCGGTTCCGGCCGCGGCGGCGGTGAAAGTGGCGGTGGCAAACGCGACTACGCCGGCGGAAAACTGCGAGAAGGGGTTCTGGCCCTTAGCGGGCGAGAAGAGCGCAAGGTAAGAGGCGGGAGCCCTTATTTATAAAAGCCGAGCGAACGTGTGACCAGCAGTGTGTGTTTTTACGTGTCTGTTCGTGTAAAAATGCGAGTGTTACTCGCCTCAATTCTAGGGGCTTTATGTGTCGCGGTCGCCTCTGCCGGAGGCCACGGCTGGGATCACGGTTGGATTGAGCCCAAGCTGACAGTCGTTGTGAAGAAAATACCGAAATTCATCCCCGTACCGCATGCAGTGCCCGTACCGCACATCGTGCACATTCCCAAGAAGGTCCCCGTCTACAAAACTGTCCTCGTCCCTAAGCCCGTGCCCGTGCCCCACATCATTCACCAGTACTATCCCGTCCATAAAGTCGTGCACATCCCCAAGGAAGTGCCCTTCCCCGTCAAGGTGCCCGTCAAGAAGCCCTACCCCGTGCCCCACGTCATCAGGATACCCAAGCCATACATCGTGCACGTGCCGAAACCCTACATTGTCCACAAACCTGTCCCTACCCCGTCGAAGTGAGGATTCCCAAGCCTTATCTCGTTCACATCCACAAGCACGTTCCTGTCCCTGTGACGAAGCACATTCCTGTCGAAGTTCCCATCGTGAAGGAACATCCCGTCGTTATCAAGAAGCCAGTGCCGATCCTGCTCGAGAACAAAGGATGGGACAAGAAGAAGAGCGCCTAATCGAGGCCATGTAGCGCGTCTCGGAGATCTGTTTGTCTCTGATGAACATGTTGTATTTATGTACATACAAAAAACTCTTGTGTCCCGTCGATGTATATAGTATTGCGTTCGAAATAAATCGGAGACGTTATCGTTTCGGCTGCAAAGTATCCTTTCCCGTACGGCAGGCGATCCGAGTTCGTTGAGAATCGAGTTTTCCTCGTTGTGTCGTCAAACCATAGAGAACGATGATGATGATGAAGTAAAAATCATCATGAGAATGATTCCTTCCAATACGCCGAAAATCGAGCGCCAGTGGAATTGTTCGTTCCATTCTACCCAGCATATTCTCAGTTCTTCGGGGAGTCGAACGTGGTCATCGAGGGATAATTCTCCGTCTCGCGATGGATCGCACTCACGCGAGAAGCATCGTGTCAGGCCCAGAATGAGAGGCCAGTCACCGGTGGGAGCACCCATGGGTCGCCTTCGAGAGAACGGGACGCGGTGAGGGGGTCGCAGCATGGCAGGGGGAGGGCAATTGATTATTTATCAAAACAGTTCGGTCAAGCTTCCCTGAACTTCCCGTTTATCGCGAACCAGAAAGCCGAGCCGGATCAGCCCTTGAGAGAATCGGATGAATTCTCCGAGAATCGCTCTAGAGTGCGATCGTCTGGTCTGATTGGGTGATGCTGACGTACTAATTGAGAGCGGAAGCGAGATTTTCGTATCGCTTCTCTTCCTCTCGAGCCCGATTCGTATTGCCGGGTGTGACGTCATCGAGTGACCACCGGGATCGAAATGGATTCCGCAGGACACACCCCAGGATCGAAGGTCACGAATGAACCCGATGCTCGACCCTCACAATTCAGCTCCGGATTCAACTGGACGCTTGGGATTTGCTCGAATCCAGTCACGGCTCGCGTAGTTTCAGACGCGCGCCATCGAAATCGGGGAGAGGATCGTCCATCGCGCATCAACAACACCATCGAGCCATCAACACGTGTTCCGAACATCTCGCGCTACGAATCCATACGAACGGAGGAGTTCTGAGTTTTCGAAGAACTTTTCGTGTGCACCGTCCGCAATGAAGTTCAACTACAGGTTCTCGAACCTCTTGGGCACGGTCTACCGCAAAGGAAACGTGCTGTTCACAAAAGATGGTAATACAGTGATCTCGCCGGTGGGAAATCGGATAACATTTTTCGATCTACGGAATGCGAAAGCTGAAACTCTACCTATCGAGGCCGATCACAACTTTAGCACGTTGGCACTGAGCCCCTCAGGTTCGATATTGGTCGCCGTGACGGAACGAGGGGAGTTCTACATGATCAGTTTGACGTCGAGGAAAGTGATCCATCGACGGAACTTCATGAAACCAATACGAGCGGTAAAGTTCTCGCCGGATGGCAAGCATTTCGCAATGACCAAGGAGAACAAAATTTTCATCTTCAAAACACCTGGACGAACCACGGGAGCGTACGACGCGTTTCTCATCGAACGTGTCTATCACTGTTTCGTCGACGACACAACGTGTGTCGACTGGAGTTCGGACTCGAGGTTTATCGCGGTAGGATCGCGTGACCTCACGGCGAAGATCATCCCTATCGCCAGAGTGAAACACTTCAAAATCAACACCTTCACATCCCACAGCGACGAGATCGTAGGCGTCTTCTTCGCTGAAAACAGCTTGGATTGTTACACGATTTCGAGAAACAACGTCCTGTGTGTCTGGCAGTGCAGCTTGGAACTGAATGAAGTGCAAGCCGAAGATCAGAACGCGATGGAAGAAGACGAGGCCCAGGAGGAATTTTATTACCGACGAGAAGCAAAACACTTTCTAAAAGATCTGGTGAAAACCGAGGAATACATCACGGTCACGAGCGCGTGTTTCAACCCTCAGACCAAATACGCGGCCATCGGCTTCAGCAACGGATCCTTCGTATTACTCGAGCTGCCAGACTTCATTGTAATCCAGTCGCTGTCTCTAGACGATCACAACCTCTCCGCGATTCAATTCAACCTCACGGGCGATTGGTTGGCCCTGGGGAGCGCCACGAAAGGTCAACTCGTCATCTACGAGTGGCAATCGGAGAGCTTCGTTTTGAAACAGCAGGGACACACCAACAACATGACGTGTCTCGATTTCTCCCCGTCCGGACAGCACGTCGTTACCGGAGGCGATGACGGAAAAGTGAAGCTGTGGAATTTATCGACTGGTTTCTGCTTCGTCACATTCTCCGATCACACCAGCGGCGTGTCCGCCGTGAAATTCACTCAAAACGGGAAAGCCGTTCTGAGCGCATCGTACGATGGCACGGTCCGGGCTACCGATGTCAAGCGGTATCGGAACTTCAAAACTTTTGTTTCGCCGGAGCCGACCCAATTCGTCTCGCTCTGCGTGGACCCCTCAGGTGAAGTTGTGTGCGCCGGAAGCCAAGACACGTTCGAAATTTTCGTTTGGAGTATGCAGACGGGAAAATTGGTGGAGATACTCGCAGGGCACGAGGCACCCGTGAGCTCCGTGGTATTCTCGCCGAGTGCGCCTCTGCTGATAAGCTCGAGCTGGGACAAAACAGTCAAGATATGGCAGATGTTCACGGCCAAGGGTAAGGCTCGCCTTTCCGTCCTTACAAGGGCATGAATATTTTTTCTTTGAAATGATGTATGGATTACCCCCATTGTCTGATTCCTTTCTTCTTTCCTCATCGACTTTCTCTGCTCACCACGATATATAATATCTATACGTCATTGAAGACGGCTCAAAGTCATTGAAACTACCTTCTTTTTCCAACCTGCGCAGGTACAAGGGAGACCATACAAATGGGCTCAGATTGTCTAGCGGTTGAGGTGCGTCCCGACGGCCGAGAACTGGCGGTTTCGACCCTAGACGGAAATATAACCATTTTCGATGTCGACACTACGAGCCAGGTGCATTGCATCGAGGGGCGTTACGATTTGCACACCGGACGACGCGAGAATGATCTTGTGACGGCGAAACGGTTACAGAAAGTAAGCGCCCGCATGTTCCGGGGAGGAACCTTTTGGTCCGAATACGTCATCCTGAAATTCCTGTATCTGCATGCTATTTCCGGTCCCGGTAGTCATGAGATTCATTTCCAGGTTCAGGCTTTCACCACGCTCTGCTACACAGCAGACGGAGAATGCATTCTCGCGGCAGGTCGCTCGAAGGTTGTCTGCATTTATCATGTGTCCGAACAGGTGCTTCTAAAGCGATTCGAGATTACGTGTAATCTCTCACTGGACGGTCTATCTGACACTATAGATCGCAAGAAGATCTCGGAGTTCGGCAACTTGAATTTGGTCGAGCTGCGCGACGATCCGTCAGAAGAAGTGAAAATGCATCTACCGGGGAGCAAAAAGCTGGATCATTCCTCCAGGTCCTACAGACCGGAGGTTCGAGTCTCCGCCGTGCGTTTCGCGCCGACGGGTCGCGCGTTTTCAGCGGTCACCACAGAGGGTCTCCTGGTGTACTCGTTGGACTCGGGCCTGGCCTTCGACCCTTATGACCTGGAACTCGACATAACTCCCGAGAAAATTCGTGCTGCCGCGAATTCTGGTAATTTCGGTGAGGCTCTTGTTCTCGCCTTTCGTTTGAATGAAGCTGATCTTCTGAAGGAGGTTTTCGAGAGGATCCCGGTGAGCAATGCGGAACTGATCTCCAGCCAGCTCCCTCAGATCTACGTTGAGAAGCTCTTAGCTTTCTTGGCCTCAGGTTTGGAATCCACGAGGCATATCGAATTATACATGAGATGGGTTCGGGCCGCTCTGATCAGTCACGGCGAGAGTCTCAAGGACCGAAGTCCTCGCATAATTGCGTTGCTCAAAAGCCTCCAGAAGAATATAATCCTCCGGCACAAGGACTTGCACAAGGTCTGTGAGCAAACTCGGCACTCGATCCGATACGTTAACGAGGTTAATTCGAACCTGAAGAAAGCGAAAACTCAGAAGGAGAAAGAAGAATGTAACGACCAGGACGAAAGCGGCAGTGAGGACCGAGATGAGGGTATGGAGGTCACGATGTGAGATGGGGACATCCGTCGCTCATCAGAAAGACTTCTCTTGTATATATTTGCTGCAAGCGTGAATAAAGTCGTTCTTTGAACCATCAACAAATACGTGTTTCTTCAATCTTCGTCCCTCACTCCCCGCCAAATTTGCTCGCTCGTCCCCCTGAAATTGATTGTATCAAGGAAGATCGCCAAACTCGTATGTACACAATTTTACAGGGTTTATGTAGTCGTTCTCGATATATACAAGCTCAATTTCTCGTGAACATTTCTTATGGACGGAATGTAGACACAACGGTGGCGACTCTTGCTCCTTGTTCTTTCCAATAAATAATATGCACAAAATCTCGCCAACTACGAAAACATTTGATATTCGGTTATTTAAGATCGACAGCCGACGTGGGAGGGACTCATTGCGTCTTTTTTGAACTCCGTAGATGCTCCACAATGCATCCTACGGCCCCGAAATAGCCCTGCAAGGAAAGCGTCCAAGATCACTCGCGATCCCCAGCAGGATAAGATATGGATATCCCACAGCTCTGACTTCGCGACGTTTCTGTTCTTCAGACTTGATACCAGGACTCACCTCATGCTCTAGGAACAACGCTTTCAAGGATCCGCGAGACCAGAAATCCATAGCATGCGTCAACATGTGCATGGATAGCGCGTTGTAGCGAAGAAAATTCCCAACGAAGACTATTCGCTGCATTTTCTGAAACGGAGAGCAAATAGGAGCAACACTTTTTCTCCGAAACGGGGTAGAACTCGATCGCTAGCTTCGGACTCGAGGAGCAGAAGCGAAACCCGGTACTTTTCCCCCGATATTGCATCTCAACGAGTCGACTCACCTCGTTGACAGCACAGAGTCTCGCGATAGACGCGATGTTGTTGGTGACGGTGGTCAAGGTTGCCCGCGCGAGATCTTCTCTCTTCGCAAGCTCTCGGCGCCATTTGCAACACATGTTTCCGAAGGATGAAGCGACAGTATCAGCACGGAGATTAAATTTCGGGTAGTCTCCGCCGTAGATGTCGCGGACGAGTTTGTCCACCAGTCCTGAATCTCCTTTTTCGGCAAGCTCTATCGCTTCCTCAAAACTCTCGCATCCCGTCAGTAGACAGCAGAGACCCAGGAACGTGCCGCCCCCGAGGCTGAAGGAAGGAGGAACTCGATACGGAATCAGCTTCAGGAATTCCTCGTCAGACCTAAATCGACTTCATTCGATCGATAACGAAATCCGGTTTGCGAACTCACCTGGTTCCGGTTATCCTACGATACTCGGTGGGTGAATAAACAGCGAGCATACTGACCCCCGATCCGATGTTAACCGCAAGATAGGGATATGCATCAGAGAAATCGAACGGAGTTTTCGTGTAGGTCTTATGCTCCGCGTCCATTTCGAAATAGAAGCATTCCCTCAAAGGCTTGCACGACTCAATATAATGGATGCCGCACAGCAAGGAGTCCAACTCGTCGTATTTGTGGACCTTGGTGCCGATTTTCTGAAATGGAGGTAGACTAAGCTCGAAGGTCGACGGAAAGGTCCCGCCAAGCTGCGATGAGCGTGGGCGCGCTTTTCTCGAATGTCAAACATTGATAACAACTCGAAGACTCGATATTCACCCCGTTTGTGTCTTTCGGAGCAACTCACGTGTTTCAACTCGCCCAGATTGTCTTCCAACAACTGGGCGCCACCACCAGTTGCGCAGATGGTGGTCGAGCTCGTCGAGATACCCATCGACTCGGCCAGTCGCAGGAACGAAAATATCTCTGTCGAGGAGAAGTGTATGAAGTGCAGAGTTCCAGCTTGGCCGTCCAGTTCGCATGTACGCATCTCCAAGTGGACGTCTCGTTTTCCTGTCTCCCCGTAGCATGTCGAGTTCTGTAATGGGCGGATAGATACTCGAGAACGTCGTCTAATTGAGTCCAAGGCTCGCCGCTTATTCTTAGTCATTCGCCTAGAGAATATTTCTCCTCTTGCTAGCAATAATAATAATTGATGACGCATTTTTTTCCAAGCCACAGTAGAACGGATTGGAGCGAGAGAAGAGGTTCGGCTTCCTTCTCGAGATAACGAGCAGCATCATTATTGGAACATTCAGCCGATAAGGCGTCCAATCGAAGCATTCCATCGCGTTTCATCACAAAGATCACAGTCTGACATTAATGGCAGCAAAGGCGGCGATGTTGTCAAGTGTCTCCCTACGACGACGACGCACGGTGGACCAGCTGGAGAGTGTGAAACAAACGATCCGTCAGACGGCTCGTCCGCCACCGTCGTCGATCGTGTCTGCGTTGTCGCAAAGCGCGGACTTTTACCGCAAGGGAACCTTTCGACGATCACGCCATTACGATTAAATCTATTGGTCTGTCTGGAATAGGCATTTTTGGAGATTCTCTCGGGGACAGAGAATATGTTTCGACCTCGCTTCTGTCTCCCTCTCGAGCTCCTTTCGAAACTTGACCATCACGGTCCTTAGAAAACTGTGATTGCGATCGTCCTTTCTCGGCGGGGTTCGCCATAGAACAAGGACAACTCCCGAGCCGAGCTCCCGGAACTCACCTCGAAGTACTGTTTTATCTCCTCACATTCGGTCCGATCGGTCGGGATCGGGGCTGAGTCCGGGACAAAGTAGACGAGTTTGGCCAACGTGCCTCCGATGTCGAGTCCAAACCAAGGAATCTCTGAGGGTTCGGAGAAACCTATCGGTCATTCGCATGACTTTACGGCCAGCCTGAGTGCCATCTCGGAGATTAATCCCTCGATTCCGATATTGGGGGAGAGATCCCCCGAGTTGATCATGTTGAGGGGTAAGTCCACCTGGCGCTAGAGCCATGAGCTCTGAATGACTGACTGTTAATGAGCGTGACTCTTGAGCCGATGAGAACAATTACGGCGCGCAGGCAATTTCTTCTTCGTAGAGATGATTTCTCTGATAAGTCTATGATTATGACGCGTTGACCGACAAGTACATCATTGCCGCCATCGCAATTACCGTTAGCACTACGACCGCCGACACCGTCGGCTCTATCGTCCACAAGGATAACGTCTTGCGAAATATGAGCTGCCGAGAAATTATAAAAAGAGTACATCTGACTTACTGGAAAGAGACTGTCGGGCTTCTTTGTGCGGATACTCGCCTAGCAAGGCGCCCTCGTTGAGTCGCTTGGCGCATTGCACTTCTCGCGCGCATTGTGCCATGAGATTTTCTCGATTTCTGTCGATTTAATGTTTTTTTCAGCCTGCGATGCGATGCCAAAAAATCAGTGGGGGAAGGTACACTGAAGTACAGTTCGGGCTTCGAGCGGCGATAAAGAATAGAGCACCAACGTTGAAATTCGCGAAGTGTCGATATGCGAGCGGGAATTCGGGGATTCGCGCGGGTGACGGTTCACTCACTTGTCGTCCAGAAGCTGATCGAGAAACTTCTCTGTCACGTCTTTCCCGAGCATCTGGAAGCGTGTTTTTCGCCGGGCGGGGAGTACCGGGCAGCTGGGAGACCTTTCCGAGTCCTAAACGATCACAAGCTACTCGTTAGACGTCCAATAATGCCAAGCAAGCGTAGGTCGCTTTAACGCGTCACACGTCACACTGTGGCGAGGGGAATTCGTGGCACCTCTCCGTAGAAAAAACACGGCATCACACGGCAATCGTACTCACGCGGCTTATCGAGATGCTTGCCGACGTATTCGGCTCTGAACTGGTTGAGCTAGGGCTTCTCCGGAGAATTTCATATCACATATCACAAAGGTCTACTCGCCAAGCAGCTTATCCCTGGACTCCGCGGGCCTCGGGGGAGGATTCGCGGACAGCCCGACGGGGCCTGACGGATCAGCCGTGAATTTTCGATAGAATTTCCGATCATGGGCATTTTTTGTTTGCTCCAGCTTGTCTCCTGTTCGACGCTTCTCTTCTGCTGTGAAGTCAACATATAGACCCCAACTCTTAGACATGTAAGCAACAACTCCAGCGGAATGGAGTTTCCGGGACGGCCCTCCATAGAGCAGTTGCTCATTATTTCCACCCTGATCTGAAGCTTCGAAGTTGGAAATTGACTAGTCATCCTAAGTAATGAATCGGATTGAGCATTGATCAACAGCCTCCGAGTGCGGGCTAGGCGTTTTCTAGCCCAGCGAAAAAAAAAGAATGACTCTGTGACAAGCGTAAGCTGAATGGAGTCCTCTGGACTAGACGGATCAAACGATCTGAATGACAAAAGAGTGAGAAGCACTGATCCCATGAAAAGTGTGGAACCCCATCACGATAAACGCTCATTCCTCGTGTCATCGGGAGGGATGAGAAACGACTAGGAGAAAATGGCGAGCTATCGTAAATATTTTGGAAAAGCTCAGACTTTGATTTCTTCGATCCTTCTTCCTGGGGGCTCGTTCAAGTAAGAGACCTTACAAGAGAGGGGCTCGGATCGAATTGAATGATTCGAGCTTGGCAGCCCTGATGATCGAGTCATAAATGAATTAAACATCGACAAAGCGTGTGGAACATAACTACTTCGTGATTGTTGTGCAGAGAAGGAGCGCTCGCCCCGCTCGTAGCCGGTACTCCTCAGAGAGGAGAACCTCCCAGGAGGAATATCACGGTTTCGAGCGATCGGCGAGGAGAGAGCAACATATTTCGGAGATGGGCTCGTGTGTGAGGAGTGAGGAGGACTTCCAATCGCGGCAGGGCTCACCATGGTATATCCACAGTATTGGAGATTTCGCGATAGAGCGATGTACGGGGGTTGGAGGAAAATGATCCGATGGGACTTGTTCTCACTGAATCGATCTCAGCCTTCTGCCCAGCTACCCTAGATTAGGTACACTCGTAAGCAACGCCCCGAAGGGGGTCAGACGTGCAAATACGGGGCTCTGTACGGTCAGAAGTTTCGTCGGATTGAGTCCCCTCTGACAAAGATGATCCGTTGGGGACCGTTGGAGTGATTTCAATGGCGTGAGCCGTGCCGAGTTTCCCTCGCGATGAATGCTCCTGAAGAGGGCATTCTGTATTCGAATTCTATTTTTAGCGTGTTCCCAGTTTCTAGCTCCATTCTCGGCCAGCAAAGCATCTGGATAGTGAACCGCTGAGTATGACGTGGGTCCGCATCGACGCACGACAAGTCAACATCTGGTATCGCACTGTAGACGATAGGACAGAAATCATTGGAGGTCGGCGTAAGTGTCCGCGATCGGTTCGCGTCGCGGGTTTGGACTACGCCAGTGCTCGAAATGAGAAAACATCAAATTATAATCATTCAATAATCATGACACCCGGAGGATCATGTCCCCTCAGGTCGGCTTGTCTAGAACCCGATGCACGACACAGTGGGAACGTGCACAATGTAGGGTGTAGGGGACGTTGCGTGTCTCACGTCAGGACCCCACCGACACCAGACAGAAATCAGTCGACTTGAGTGAAACGGAAGCTACGGAACGTTGAGAACATCCATGGATTCGGCGAGAATATTGTGCGTTGCGGGCTTGATATGCGTGGCACTAGCTTCCCCGTTGCCCCTGCGAGCGGCTGCCCCGGGAGCGGATGGAGACAACGGAAAGCTACCACCATCTAGTGAGGGTCAGTTCTTTCTCGATTCGGAGGATCACGAACATCTAAGATTCTGCTACAAGACTCCTCGACTCAGACCTACAATTGCCCGGAGGTCTTTCGGACGCTCTCGACAGGGAAGAATACTCGAGTTTCCTTCCAGGACGAGCGGCACCTGCCCTACCAGTCCACCACGTGGAGAAGCGGGCCGCAGTTACAGTCGAGAAAGAGGTCAAAATCCAGCCGATTCATCCCAATGCTCTCCAGGACACTGGTGAACTTTTACGTTTGGTCGCCCTGCTGCCGGCAAAAAGCCTTCAGTTGGTTCGCGACCTAACGGTCCCGATACTCGACCAGTCCCTCGCTGTTCCCGGTAAGCAGCCCCAGGAAACCTTTCCGGATGCGTGAAACTTCGATCTTCGGCTTCAGCTCCGGAATCGATGGCCTCATGTTAATTATTGTATGTATGTCGAATCACTTCTTGAGCTCTCTACAGCCTCATGATAACGCCCTGGATTTTCCTGCAGCGAGTCTCCTCGAGACTGCACTTGGGAAACGCGCCGCATTAGATTTGCTGCTGCATAAGAAAATTCCCCCACCGGCAGAGCAAGCGCCCGAACTCGGCCCCGAAAAGATGCTCGGCGTCGGCGGTCAGCTGAAGCATAAATTTCTGACCTTGGAACATCTGCTTCTGAACCCTCATGGCCTCGTCAAAACGAAGGATATCTCCGCAGAACCCGCCGCTTTGGAGAAGGACCTGCTCATCAAAACCCCACTCAAGACAGTTGACATCAAAATTGTTGCCGCGCCGGATCTTGAAGCCCTGACTACGACTCCGGGGCCTATAACCACGACTGCTGTTCCCCCTCCTTAGACTCAGTTGACGCAGTCACCTCTTATACGTTCGAGGAGAGAAAGTTGTGAATCTCCCGCGAGCAAAAAATTTGTGAATCTTCTGCGAGCAAAACATTTGTGAATCTTTCGTTTCGAAGACACGATAATCCCTCATCTAAAATGACCTTATGCAGATGATTATCTGGTGACTTCACGAATAAATAATCAGTCTGTACATCAGAGATCCTTCCTATTCAGATTCTACCCGAGTCCCTATTCTCGTTAGAGCCGCGGACCGTGTGAGTCTCGTGAGCCGCGAAGCTCAAAAGGACCACCGGAGCCTGTCCTCTCTCGGGAGTGAAGGAGGAGTCTTCGCCGATATTTGGATACGATTTTTATTTTGATATATTAGTATTCGTCAGTTGCTCTTGCAGAGCTCGCACGAAGGGCCGATCGCCGCCGCGTAGGACGTACGGAAACAAGCTCTGCCATTCAGGAAGAATTTCATTGAATACTCTTTGATCCCTCATCCACGAATTTTTTCACAAAGATTATAATTAATCCCCCAAGTTGTTCCAACAGTTGATATAGGGGAGAAACTGTCTGGGCTTCAGGTTTTCCTCGTTCATTACTTATGACTTCATCTGTCATTATGATATCCTCTCCAGCATTAAAAGTTAGGCTATCTAGAATTCTCACTGTCCTGTGCTTCGAGGATGCCCATAGGTCAGCAAAGCCGCAGCCACACAAAACCTTCGACGCACGACGCGACATTCAAGCTCGGCGGACGCCTCGATGGTCGCTTCCCTGTCTTCCATCGCCGATTCCGTATATACACAGCACTTTGAAAGACCAAAGCGAAAATAGTTGCTTTTGGGCTCTCAGACTTCTCACGCCTACATCCACGAAAATATTTAGATTGAAAAGAATACAGCTGGACTGAACACTATCACCTATTTCGATGAATGAAACACAGCTCTCTTATCGGGCCGAATCGGCGCGGAGCCTCGAGTTTGATTCGATGGCTAGCCAAGGGTGATCTCGCTTAGTTGCCGGACTTCAATAGCTCCATCAAGCACCCCGCTGCTCCAAAATAGCCCTGGAGAGAAGAGAGAGGAACTTATTCGAGTAGGATCGAAGGAGTGTCCGGGAGAGACTCCATTGCGAATCATAGAGAACAATAGAGAACATCTATTCCGGTCGGAGTCGACGGGACTCCAGAGTTCCCTTCCGAGCAGGGGCGCGCACAGGATTTATTCTGTTGAGAGGAGAGAGGGGGGGGGGAATTCGAGTTATGGAGGGGCCTGACGACTGAGATGAGGACGCACCTCCTAGGGCCCTAACTCCAACATGGAGACCGAGAAAAAATTCAGGAGGGGGGCGTGCCATCCCCCCCCCCCCGTCGTGCGCGCCTCTGCTGCCGAGCTCGGATCCAAATCAATGAAAACATCCAAACTCACTTCATGCTCGAGGAAGAGCGCCTTCAGTGAACCTTTCGACCAGAAATGCATCGCGTACGCGAGCATTCGCATTGAGAGCGCGTTGACCCGCAGAAAATTGCCTACGAACACAACCCGGGTGATACCCTGCAAGAAAAAATTAACTTTTTTCTTCTCCGCATTTTAAAGTTCGGGACAAGATCATTTTCTCATGTCTTGTCCTAGACGAACCTCGTTGATTGCGCACATCCTCGCGATCGATCCGATGTTGTTTGTTATTGTGGCCAGCGTGGCGCGAGCTAAGTCTTCTTTGCTGGTCAACTCCCGTCTCCACTTGCAGTTCATGTTTCCGAATGAAGAGGCGACTGTATCCGCGCGTAAATCGAACTTTGGATAGTCTCCGCCGTAGATATCTTTGACGAGCTTGTCCACTTTCTGAGAATCACCCTTCTCGGCCAACTCGATCGCTTCTTCAAAAGTCTCGCAGCCCGTAAGTAAGCAGCAAAGACCCAGGAAGGTTCCTCCACCCAAGCTGCAAGGAAGTAGGGATTGCTGACTTCCAGCATCGATCGCTCCTCAAATAATTCGGCATTCGATTACCGGTAGAGATGCCTCGCATCGGAAGAATCGATTAAGATCATACCTCGTGCCTGTGACGCGTTTGTACTCCGTCGGTGAATACACCGCAAGGATACTGACTCCGGATCCGATATTGACGACGAGATACGGATACGGGTTCGAGAAGTCGTAGGGAACCTTCTCGAATTGATCTTCGTCCATTGGGTTTTTGAAGTAGTAACATTCGTTGACGGGATTACATGCCTCGATGTAGTGAATTCCACGGATCAGCGAGTCGAGCTCGTCGAATTTGTGTAGGATGAGATTCAGTTCCTTCAGATCAGGAGGTGAAGACATCTTAGAATATGAGACTGAAGATGAGGCAGCTAGGACAATTAGTGAATGGAAATATGTAGTGAAAAAGATATCGTGATGAGCCGCCATGATTCGGCTCAGGAAATCCTGGGCGATTCCACGTTCATTGACTGCTCATCAGGAGTGGTCCACACGCTCAAGCGACAAACAATTGTGAGAAAAGGAGGACTGTCAAGAGAGAAAATTCAGGCGGTGAGTTCCATACGGCATCGAGCAAACTTCAAGACGCACACCTTTCCTACCTCCCGGAATTGTTCTTCGAACAGATGAGCTCCTCCGCCCGTGGCACAAATTGTTGTTGCCATCGAGGCTATACCCTTCGATTTGGCCAATGCCATGAAAGCGGACATTTCTGCGGTCGGGAAACGGATGAAGTGGAGGGTCCCGACCCGTCCGCCCATCTTGCAGCGCTCCATCTCGAGATGTGCGTCACGCTTGCCGGTCTTCCCATAGGCCTTGTTGCTCTGAATCCGAGAAAGAACTATGGATTATCGGGACATTCTGTGGAATGACATAATCACCGCTGTAAAGGTGCTGCTTGACCGCGTCGCTGTCGCCCGAAATGAAACATGACCATGGAGATCGCCGGATTCGTCCGCAAATCGTAACGCAAGCTCAACGTAATTATCCAAGAAGCAAAGCGCCTGAGGATCCATTCACCCCGCCTTGAAGTTGTCTTAAACTGACCTTGAGGTAGTGCTTGATAGTTTTAAGGTTCTCGTGTTCATTGTTGCTTTCATCAGGGTCTAGGTCAGTGGGCTCGAAGTATATCACTTTTGTGAGACTCCCTCCGATGTCCATCCCGAACCACGGCATCGCTGGGATCCGAGGAAAAAAAATGAATTTGAATGAAATTGAATGACGTACATACATATGTCGGAGCTCGGTATGGAATTCATTCCTCGACAGTTTTTCCATTCAGTTCCAGAAGACCTTCAAATTTTTCCTCCTGCTTTCGCCTCGAGGCAGGAGGAATTTCCTATGGAACTTCCAATGTTGACTCTCGATCACGCGAGCTACAGCCACTCGGGCTTCTTTTTGACGCAAGCGAAATGTGTGATCAGCGTCTTCCTCGTGAGACTTCTACAATAGGCTTCCCATCGCTGCGTATGTCGGTGGATTTTCCTGTTCAGAAAGGATAAATCCGCGTTCCGCGCTCAAATAAGATGGGCTTTCGATTGTCTCGCGTCAGGGGAAGCGTTGTCACATCGTTTCTGAAGCGGGTCGGCTCTCACTACTGATGCCTCGAGAAAGTTGCGGTCGGCGTCATTCTCAATAAGGAAACCACATTTGACAGGTTGTCAGGAGCAGCCAAATCCTCTGGCTCGTTTGGCGCCGAAAGCGCGACAAAGACCCAAAGTTCAGTCCGGGTACAGAGACAGTGATGGGTCTCTCCCTGACCAGGAATAGATCGGTGTATCGGACGACATCGCAAGAATATGTAAAACGATATTCCGCCCGGCGGAACACGACCTGTTGATGATGAAACCATCATCAAAAAACGAGGCTCCTCGGAGGACGAGCACTCGGTCATGCGTCATGACGTCATGACATGAAGATCTCCGTGTCCGGAGCAGATCGTTGACTTCCACGCCAATGATGCAGGTGATTATCGCTAGCCCACGGGATGCAGCCCAACTCCGGATTCGTTGAGCAGTATGAGATCTCCGAAAGCAGGGCCGGCAGTTGGCAGATTGTTATCGACATTCAGATGCGATTCGGATCAAGGAATACTCACGGGGTCTCTGTGCGTTACTGTCGGTAGCCAGCATGCTCGAAGTCCACGGAGTCGGCAGACTGAACTTCCTCACATCCCTCGTACTGTAGTTCACCGGGCTGGAGTGCACGATGATTTCAGCCCCTCGTTCAACGCAGCGTTCCGATCTGGCGATTGAGGGAAGGAATCAGTCGATTCGGCAAAATTTCTAACACATCCTACGTCGCGATTCAGAATCCTTTATTCTCTACGGGAGAATTGAGGTGAATGACTTCCGTTCCTGGAATTGTCTCGCAGCCGGTCTGTGTCGACCAAGCGAGACCTTGAATACGTCGGCCGGCTGCGCGTCAAACTCAGACTGTGTGTTCGTCAACATCAAGCCAGCGCGCGGAGAAACAAGGAAGATGATTTGAGCCTCCAAGTGAATCAAGCGATCCCGATAACACGCTCGTCACGCTCTTTCGTCCACTCCAATCTAAATTCGCGACTATCGCCAGAGCTCAAACGCTGCCTTCGTCGGGAGATCTTCCTCGAGCTCCGTGTCAAGCACAACAAGGCTCCCGATCGATGTTTTCGGGGAACATCAGATAGAGCACTCGTCTTTCATTCTGACCGTCGTCGAGCCCCCCCCCCCCCACCCGATGTCTCTCGTCAGATCTCGCTGATGAGCACTGCGAGCTCGAATGGAATAATCTCCTAGAAAATCGGAGCCTCAGCGATATCGTCCGTCTGCCGTCGTATGGTCCGGTATTGGGCTGACAGCGAGGATGGCCCGTAGTTTCAAGCGGGTTGCACAGACTTGACAGCTAATGGGGATCAAAACAGACCTGACAGCAGGGATCATGTGACAGCTTCTTCACCGGCCGAGTGACCGCGTAGGTTAGCTCCTCAAAATAGATCCCGCGGCTCCGAAGCTGCGGTTTGGACGTTCATTTCGGACTGCGCGAAAAGCGTGACGGATCAGAATCAATGGGCTGATCTCGAGAGGAGAAAACTTCCACTGTTTCCGAGGATCGGTGAAGCTATGATACAGAATGATCCTCCGTCTGGCGCGGAACGGTGAATCGCAATTCAGAGAAATAGAACGAAAGAACATCTTTCGTTGAATTTTGCTCACTCGTCAACCTTCGGTGGATCATCGATGATCTCGATAAGATCGTCCCGGAGTCCGAATCTTCTAAGCATGGTGAAGTTAACACGAACGGTTGCACAGACTGTTCGGCGGCGCAGATCGTTTCGGTGATCGCCGCGACCGACGGCTGCGAGAATCGCTTCCGACGGCATGACGTCTTTTTCCCTCTCTTCTCGGCGAGGCTCCGTGGAAAAGCAATGACAGCTCGTCAAACATTCAGTCGTTTAGACGGTCCACTTCTCACTCAGTCGGTCAGACTCGCCATCAGTCAGGAAGATGATTCCACCACGGAAAATGCGGCATTCAATAAAGCCGGCCGTAAGCTGAACAGAAGAGGGACGTGACGGATATATTTCTATGAAGGAATCGAGTTTGACTTATTTGTGGGTAGTGCGTATTCGGATAATAATATCGGGATCATGTATCGATCATCGACGGATTCATGGATGGAGGCATCCAGCAAGAATGCCAGCCGATCAACTTCAGTACAATTGGTCCCATCGGTTCAGAGTCCACCGGCTCTGCGGAACCGGAGCTCTCGACGTCCAAGGCAGCACGCGAAATCCCGGATGGGAACATGCGTGTCCCCCGAGAAAGCCGTGCGGAGAACTCTGTGGGACTCGTTGTCCGCTCCGGCACGAGATTCCAACCCGAGGATCGGTCGAAAACATGTTTGGCTGAGCCACCGAAGCCTTGAGAAAATTATCCCCCCGCAAAAGTTCGAGAGAATCGTGGCGCCATCAGTGTCCCGGAATGAAGACTCCCATCTCGGAACGGCCATCGCTGTGGTGGAAATTCTGATCTTCTCCACGATCCCCGCGACTTGATGAAAACTCGTTTGTGAATTCGATGTAGGTCAGACCCAACGTGGAAATCCTAAAGTTGAGTCGTAATGAATTTGGAGTTTCTCTCGAGGATGATCATCGAAGCACAATGAGCATTGTTCTTGGAAGCTCTCCGAGAAAGGGGCAACGGGAAGGAAATCCCGTGTCTACAATCCTTGACAAATGTTTTCGAAACGGTGTGGCCTCGATGTTGTAGCCTAGGTAGCACATGTTGTTGGCAGGCGATAATGACTCAATATGATGTTTGAGATACCATCAAGCGGCTTCCAGATTAAGTTCGTCGATGAGGAAAACAAATAATTTATTTGCTTCTACGCTCTCGGTGCGTCAACAACATCATTAAGTTACATTAGGCTCCCGATGACTTGAAGGGGAGGGTGCTGCTGCTCAAAGGAAGATTCCCCGAGCAACCGAATCCCAGTTGCGCTCCCATCGTGTCTCCTGCCAAGCCATGATGTTCCTCCTCCACAAATTGAGGATCTCTATGTTTCTATTATCACACATCTTTATCAGGTGTTTGCACAGCTGATCCGAGCTCTCGAAGAGCAGACCCGTCTGGTCGACTTTCACCAGCTCGGATATGCACTTGTAGTTCCAAGCTAAAACTGGAACACAACAGCCAAACATGTCGACAATTTTCATGGGCAGATCCAGCGAGCTCGAGCTCTTGTGCAGACACACTCCCAGGTCACAGATCGAAACAAGCATCGGATAATCCTGGATTTCGAGCCACGGTGTCAGGATGTGAACTTTCTTCAACTTCATCCCTGAGATCTTCTCGAGGTAGAACTCCTTCTGAGGTCCTTTCCCTGTGACGACACACAGAATGTCGGGTGCGTCCTCAGAAGCGGCCTTGTCGTATTTACTCAAAGCTGCCAAAAGAAGACCGAAGTCTTCGTCTTCTGTCCACGACGTGCTGCTCAAAAGTAGGAATGGTCTCTCACGGCGAGACTTCAGCTCGAGCTTGTCTTCGTTCATTCTCGTCAGGACCGTTTCGTGGGGGCTCGTGGCGAGCCGTTGTAAATCGCGGTCGCTCTCACTGAGTCTCACCAAGAGATCGTGGACTTCTTGGAGCTGATCCGGCTCGTTCCAGTCTCGAGGCTGGAACCTCAGGGGCGGCTTGTCGTGGAGAACGACGATATTATTTATGCCTTTCTCAAGAAGATCTTTCCTCATTCCTTCTGAGACGCAGAAACCGCAGTCCGCTCTGCGGCCGAAGAAGAACTCGATCCAATGGTAGATTTTCACAAGGGAGTTCTCTCTGCGGACGTTCATGGCAAGAATGCTGTAACCGTAGTTGTGCCAATCGAGCACGAATTTCGATCGGCGAACTTTACACGCAAACCACACGCACGGTAGGGTGGGAACGCTCGGCGGGTTCTGGACCAGGACGGCCGAAGGCGATGGTATCGTGAGGAAAAGATGCCATAGCAGCATGAGCGTCTGGTATATTGCCTTGAGACCGTATCGGAGAAGTCGGGGCCAAGCTTCAAATTTGAGATCTTTGATGAGATGCAAATCCACGCACGGATGATTCTGCAGCTCTCGGATCGGAGGGGATCCTTGCGATGCGACAACAGAAACCTTGATCCCGTGTTTCGCGAGGGATAGCGCATGGTACTGCATTCGAGGCGATCGACCGAAGTCCCCCATCACTACAACGGCGACGTTCACCATCTGAAATCGGAATGAGATACATGACTCTGCCGGGACGCTCTCTCGTGAATGAAAACGGCCTTCTCCACCATGGACAATTGGGATTCTTTTTCAATATATTAGAATGAATAGTCCACGTGTTGAGGAGTAGAGGGTCGGGATAAAGGAAGAGTCAGAGATTCGCCAAGTCACATCTCAGAGAAGCAATCATTAGAAAACAAAAGAACTCCTCAAGGCTTTGAACGCGCGCTAATGGGGTTCCGCTTCACGGGACATCTCGTTCCGCCTCATGATATTCCCCGATTCCCAATGCTTTTCTCCAAGGTGATGCACCGATATTGGCTTTCTCCTAGGAACACGAGATGAGTAGAAAATTAAGAGTACTTCAGCATTCGATACTATGGTTTTTCGGTCGCCTTGCTAGCAAAGAATCACTTGACGGCAGATTCGAGATGGAAGAGAGCACAAACAGAAGCCAATCACATGGGGCGAAATTTTAAAGCTCTGTCACGGGACAGACTTTCATTAGGTGTATCTGCGGCTCTTTGTCTAGATCTGACGACAGAGTCATCCTCACGCTCAAGCGCGCCGCAGTGTTACGATTCGGGTTGGTTACTAGCGGGAGCAGAAACGTCCGATCGCGAAATGTCGTTACAGTTCATTCAAGCAAAGCTAATGCAACGATAAAGCTAATTGTAAGATCCCCCTGGTAGACAACGACACATCTCTGAGATTCTCACCTTTTCGATAGGAAAATGAGTGCTTTTTCTCTCTCTGCTGGCTCCGGCTGCTATTCAGAAACCGCTCAGTCGACTTCAGCGAGAGCAACGACGGAACGTGAAAAAACAGTCGCGATCATCACTGTCGCCGAATCTCTGCACCGAACGACCGTACGAACAAGCGGACGACCAATCGACCAAGCATTAACTCCCTTCACAGCTGATACTCTCAGTCCGTAGACTTTTGTCCACCGAAGGAGTGCACCACCAGCGTTACGTTGACGTCTCTGACGGCAGAAAACGTGTAGCCGTGCTCAACTCACCGTGATGATTCCGAACGGGGCGGCGGAGTGTCCAGGGTGACGTTTTGTCCTCCACGAATGAGCTGGACACGTCACGAAATGGAACTTGCAGGCGAGACCCGGAATGACTCTCTGGTTTGTTCTGAGTCAGTGCGGAGAGCGATTGGTTTCTGCGGTGGCACCCAACACCCTTCAGATCATCATCAGGACCCGCACTGGCCAATGCGACTGTAGACAAAAATTTTGGGGAGGAAAAGTTGACATGCCATCCACAATTATCGAGCAGCGGTACCCCACGCGCGCGGCTGCGACCTGGACGATTTTAAGAACGAGCGAAATCTCGGGCATTGTCGCGATTCGATGGCGGAACGCACGGACGTGAATTTGACTCATGCGCGCCATTTTTGAATTTCGTGGCGGGCTCGAGTGACATCCGGAAACTCCAGATCGTACCGGCTCAAAGATGGAAATCCATGCTCAGATGTGTATTTGTGATCTTGTGATCGGTCGCCGAATTGAAAACCCGAGGAACAATGCTAGAAAGCGAGGACCTTCGGAGTTCCCGCTATGTGACCTCCCACTTGACTGGATTCCATTCCATAGTTTTGGATACAATTTGCAGAGGGAATCATTACGTCTCGAAAGATGCGGAGTCATAACAACAAAATGTTTGATTAGGTCGGATTGAATGTTCCCCTGACTTTCGAGGGATGCTCGGGTAACTGCTCACAGGGAGCAAACCAGAGGACATTCAGAGCGTGTCAGAACATCCCGAGGTTCAGACTCATGATTGAAGAACGATTCTCGAACCTTGACGGAAGCAAGTATCTCTATACCTTCAAGCTGGAGACCAGATTATATTTATCTAGACCTCATCACGATTTCAACCAATAAGAGTCGGCGGGTAATAAACTCTCCAACTTCATTCCAGTTTATTCATCCAAGAGACGCCTAGGGATGAACAAGGCTGCCCAGGCCGTACAGGGAAGCACAACGAGAACGGCTTCCGGATACCCCCACCACGAGAGAGGAACATGATTTTTACAATAAATTATGAATGATATTCGCGGCCGACACCTCCCCTGACGGAGAAGCCCGATGGAAAGAACATCTCAACCGCATCAACGTTTCGATAGGACTCTCTTGATAACGCTCTTCTTGATGTGAAACTCCTGAACGATTTGCTTCCATCTCGCGATGCTCATCGACACAATCACGGTTTTGCCTGAAGAATGCTCTTTCGGGGCTTTATCTGATGCAACCAGGCCCCTGGTGCCTGGTATGTAAGCCAGGCAGGGCATTCCGTCTTCGTCCAGCTCGAGCGTGACAAGGCTCTGAGCAACCAAAAAGCTGAAAAGAATTAATCATACTCTCGAGAGGATCAAAGCATCGGGCTGATTTCGAAACAGCTCAATTCTCAGAGCAGAGCTCAGGTTGACCTGTCTCATTGAAATCCGCGACCCTTTCCGGGGAATCCATGTCCCGCACCCGGATTATACTTCAGGTTTTTTTCCCTCTCCTAACCTGACGTGAAAGATGTTTTCCACGGTTTCCGCGTACGAATCAGGATCTGTGACGAACTCGAAGTAGTCAACAACTTCATGACCCTGTTCGTAGAGTTTTCTCAAGGCAAGATAGATTCTCTCTACTTGTTTGGTCATCTGTTCTTCGAAACCCTCGGTGCCATCTAATTCCTGAACAACCGTGGGAGCTCCAGCTGGTCTCTGAGGGCCTCTCGTTCGCTAGAGAAATTAATACAACGATTAGGAATCGTTCAAGAGACGGGATGGATGATGTTCGGAGAATATTGAAATCAACGCTCGTCAGCCTAAACATGAATAACTAAAATTCATCCGAGCTCTAGAATATCGAAAGTGTGCATCAACCAGGCTGTCGATGTTTAGAGAATTTTCAGGAACGCCACTAACCCTTTGTCTCGCATGTATGTCAGCGAGGTCTTCGCATTTGAAGCTCCCGATCACCGGGGTTTTCGGTACAGCGAACTTCTGCGGGAGCATGTCCGACACCAGACGGAATTTGTTCTCGGGAGTCTCCTCGGCAGGACAGCGTCGCCCATCGTTGAGGACTCGTCGAAGTAATGATGCGAACTCCCCAGGCTCGAAGAGAACTCCATCACTGGATACTTTTGCGGCTATTTCTCGAGCTGCGAGGGAAGGAAATCGGGACTTAGGTAGTCTCGATATGCCTGGAGACCCCAGAGGCATCCGAGGGAACACTTTTAAATCGCTCTCCGCGGGATCGCCGCCCCCCACCAACCGACCAAGCTGCTCCGATCGATGATCGATGCTGCGGTTGTAGCCCTAAACATGCACCGGGATGAGTCTCGGAAAAAAGGGACGAATTTTCATTCACGAGGCGGATTTGCTCGCGAGCCGCATTCCTGGATGCGATCAGATTTTCGTGCTCATTCCAACTATGGGTCCGCTATGCGTATCGAGCCAGTACCCGATTTCTGACAGGAACTCAGACAAGGAGTCGGAATCGACGTCTCACCGCGTTTCTCTCGGGATGGCGCCAACTCGATTTCGATTCAAGACACGTGGGGCGGCTCTCGTCGGAGACATATTTTCTCTAGAATATACCTACTCGGCTCCTCGATCTTGGAAAAGCTGTCGGATCATTGCGCACGACTGTTGCGAACAGATGTTTCTCCTCGAATCCGCTACGAAAATCGATCGCTCCATTATTCTCGAGAGCTTTCGAGAACCTCGACTCAGAGAGCGACAAAAGCCGCGACCCAGATTCCGGGTCAAGGAAATTCCGCAAAAACATTCGTGACGTGGCTTTCCTCCGCGGCCCGCAGCGGAAACCGCTCCGATACGGAATCGTCGACTCCTCGCTGTCTCCATGCGCATGAGGTAGGCGTCCCGACTAAGGAAGATGATAGAGATCAGAGCATGAGGACTCGGATCGAGGGAAGATAATTATGATCGTTGTACAAATGTTAAAATCCTCGTCGATGAATTTCTCAGAAAATGCGCTTGACTCCCGTCGGGTGGTAGTCATGCTTACCGACTTTAAGTCTGCGCTTGAACGGAAGATGTACATGTGTGCCTATTGGAATGGGACTGATGATCCATCACTCACCATGAGCCGTGAACTTGACGGCCAATTGTGAATCGAGGAGGGCCTCTGGAACATGTTTTATCGAGCTCGCAAGACGCGCGCTCCGCCGCAGCAGTGTGATGTCGAGTTTTCCGCCGTCCTGTGTAGCAGCCACGTTCAGCTTCTTCAAGTCCTCCGTGACTTGCTTTCTGCTCTCGGCTTCCGTCATGATTTTGCCTGAGAAGATACGAGGGAAAATGCTATCCTTTTCATCGTGATGGGGTCAGCGTTAGGGATCAGGGACCGACGATACGACTGGTCAAATATCGACGCGAGGAATTAGGTATCAGAGAAGATTGGTCGATCCTCTCCGCTCCACAATCGGATGCCACGGCGATTTAGAAGGCGCATCGGTCGGTGGGAGACTCCAGTATATCGGCCGAACTTCCGGAGGGGAGCCGTCGATCATGCGTAGGGCTCCCAAATACCCGTCACTCTCAAGAACCGCGATTCTCGGGTACCCGAGAACCGCGGAGTCGGAACCGCGGGGAAAAAACGGAGAGAAGTTTCCGCGAGTTTTTCCTCCTCTCGTTTCGGACTGATACCTGGCGAAACTGATCGAGAATATTGAGACTACCCATTCTTCGTGGCCCATGGACTCAGTCGAGATAATTTTATTCCATCAGAAGGGTATATTTGCCGAGCTGAGTCTCCGTATTCGCGGTGCGGCCAACGGCGAGAAGTGACCAGAAGTGCCCCCTCGCAATTCCGAATAATCTGACCCCGGAATATATGTGGGTGGCCTGACTACTCGGTCCAGAGGGCCTACCTAGCGAGATGTCATGTGAGGGTTTTCAAGACCCGGGTCGACCTACAAATCCCGCGCTATCTCGCCTAAATCGCGATGGTTAGTTCCGAAACTTCCCTTCTCAGCGTGCATGAGAGGGACATTCAGCCATCGAAAACATCTCGGACAGGATGCTTACTCATTTTGGAGCATATCAATGGTTGTTCCGACGCCGGGATTCATTTGTTTTGCCCCCTCAGAACCGCTGGTAGGAACCGAGAAATCGGTCGGTTCCGGATCCGGGAAAATCGGCCGAAACCCGCGGTTCCAGAACCTAGGATAGGAACCGCTAGAAGCCCTAATCATGAGAGAATTCTTCGGGAGCGCGACCCGCCGAGGCGGCTCGTGAGCGAGGGCCAGAGCGAAGGTTCCGAGGAGCACGGCCGAATGTTGCGAGAATTGCGGAGAGCCCAGAACGATTTTCCAAGGGCGAAAGTTTGAGACCAGAAGGCATCGAATCGGAGACCTGTCGCAGGCCTGTGTTGCCTCGCGAGATTTTCGTGATCGAACGCATGGAGGATTCCGCTCTTTCGAAAATTCAGTGGACTCATCTAAAATAAACCTCGATGAACGCTGCCTTCCTTCGTGTGATGATTGATGAGATACCTGGCAAGATCAATGTTAGCGAATGGCAGATGAAATCGAGCAAAGTCGAGAATTTCGCTTTCAGCCCAGCATCTGCGGCAGACAACAGCTGATCACCGATCGAGTCTGCAACCCTCTGTACCTCCGCCGCTCGGCCTGACGTACGGCTTTTGGAGCTCGATAGAGAATATCAGTCAAAGTATCGCGTATCCATATCGCGAAAAATTAGTCGCCTCGGAGGCATTCAGTTCTTTCGCTGTCCCCGGTCGCGGGTGTCCCTCTGTCGTCCCATTGGACTTCGGATCGAGAGTCGAGAGTCCATGATAATCATCCACGGATCCCGCCTGGATCGAAATCTCCCCTACGTACCAGCCAGTCTTCGAAAAAATCTTTCTCGACTCACCGCGATCGGGGAACACGCGAAGAACATGAACAGAACAAATTAAAATATTGAAATTGATCTGCAACACAATCCTCCGTTGATTTGCCGCCTCCGAGAGGGGGACTGCCACACAGAACCACAGAAGTACCACCGATATCAATCACGAAGACGCCATTGTACCCAAGCAGAGCTTAGGCAGCGCCAAACCCTGATCGTCCCGGTGCCCAGGAATGATTGGACATATTCTTAAATGTCAAGAGGGGTTCTGAGTTGTGGGGGAACAGCGTGAAACAGGAACGGAAATCAATCCCAACCCTCTCTCCAGATCCGGATCCTCTCCCTTGGTACCACGTTTAGTACTGTGACGTGTCCCAGCTCGCTAGACTCCCCTTGAGAGCCGGCGTGCCTGTCATAACGTGAAGCCTGTGGTCACGATGAAGACAAAGGTCCTTCTGTTACTGCTGGTAGCCCTTGTGGCATACACAGAAGCTGAATATGTTGTCGACATGACGGCGGCCTTCGAGGAAAATATCCGAATCCACGAGATCGCGCTGGTGAAGTTTTATGCTCCATGGTGAGTGCCTCGAAATTTTAACAATGATGACGTTGCATAAGCGAGCTTCAACTTCGTTCGAGCTCTGTCTCCCCGATGATGGGTGCTTTCGAGCGTGCGGACTCACATGTGGGGTCGTCATCGGCCTCTGAGAGGTTTCAGCGGCATCCCAGGATCGGATGCGCGTCAGTTCACTGAACTCATCTGATATGGGATTTACTTGGTTGCGCGTTCTCGGAACAGCATGCTTTCAGTGCTTCGGAATAGCGCCTTGTTGAAAGAAACTTCGTGCCGAAGCGGATGCAATACTCCGCCGCGAGCTCGGGTACCGTCTAGTGGTGCTTGGCATGGAATTTTTTGCCATTGCGGTACGTCGACAGATGCCGGCACCGTACCCGGCCGGGATTCGGTAATTGACTCTTGGATGATCTCCTCTGGATCGAGGAAACTCCGCAGCGTCTTAGATCCAGGGCTGCGACTTCCCGATGGAGCTCAGGTTCCCAGCTTATTTGAAACATGATGATGAACATTTATCTCACACTTCAGTATGAGCCGTTGCTCTACGCTACGTGTACCAAGAGACGAGGTCGCCTCTCTCCCATGTTTCCAGCGCTTTGCGATGTTCGCCATCACCTGACCACTGGGCGATCCTCTACAGAGTTGGCCGTCAGAAAAAACTCCGTTCCCTCGAACTTCATTCGCCCCGAATTCTCGAGGGTGCGAACGACGAAAAGGGTCGCATCGTTTACAGTTTCTTTTTCCCCCCAGGTGTGGTCACTGCAAACGTCTCGCCCCTGAGTTCGAGGAGGCCGCCGGCACTTTGATAAAGCACGACCCCCCCGTCGTACTCGCCGACGTCGACTGCACTGCGGACAGCGGAAAGGGTGTCTGCTCGAAGTACGGAGTGACTGGATATCCGACCCTCAAGATCTTCAGACATGGAGAGGTTTCGGGCGAATACGGCGGAGCGCGAGATGCCGGTGGGTGATGCTTGTTTCTCGGTGAATTCGTATCGAGGAACATCATTTGGAAGTCAAGCGATATATTCGCTTAGGATTCTCTCTTCCATTCGTTCATTTGGGCGCAATTTTTTTTCCCAGATGGAATCGTTCAATACATGAAAACGCTTGCTGGTCCGAGCTCGAAGGAAATCAAGAGCAAGAAGGATTTCGAAGCCGTCCTGGCGCGCGACGAGAGTGTGGTCGTCGGTTTCTTCAAGGAGAAGGATTCTGCGCTCCATCAGGCTTACCAGAAGGTGGCCGACAAAGAGCGTGAGAACTACAGCTTCTACCACACCCACGACGCCGAAGTGATTGAGGACAAAAAGTTCGACGACAAAGTCGTCGTCATCCGTGCCAAAAAGTACACGAACAAGTTCGAGGACAGTGAAGTCGTATTCGACGGAGCTCCCGACGACGATGCGATCCGTGCATTCCTCTCGAAGAACTTCTTCGGTCTCGTGGGTCACAGAACCCGTGATAACCAGAAGTTGTTCGACTCGCCCCTCCTCGTCGCCTACTACGATGTCGACTACGAGAAGAACCCGAAGGGCACCAACTACTGGAGGAACCGAATCATGAAGGCTCTCAAGAAACACGCCGGAAAGATCGTGGGTGCCGTGTCCAGCCGGAAGCGGTTCGCAAGTGAGGTCGATGATTTCGGATTCGATAGTGGAGACGCCCCGGCTATCGGCATCCGTGACGAGAAATTCAACAAGTACCGCATGGAGGGCGAGTTCTCGATCGAAAACCTGGAGAAGTTCGTCAAGGACTACCTCGACGGAAAGCTCTTGCCTCATCTCAAGTCCGAGAAGGTTCCTGAGGACAATGACGGACCCGTGAAGGTCGCCGTCGCGAGGAACTTCGACGACCTAGTCCTCGGAGCAGACAAGGACGTGCTCATCGAGTTCTACGCACCCTGGTGCGGACACTGCAAGAAGCTCGCGCCGGTCCTCGAAGAACTCGGTCGCGAACTTGAGGGCGAAGACGTTATCGTGGTGAAGATGGACGCTACCGCTAACGACACTCCTCAGGACTTCCAGGTCCAGGGATACCCCACTCTGTACTGGCTGCCGAAGAACGCGAAGTCCTCCCCTGCGAGATACGAGGGTGGTCGGGAACTCAAGGACTTTGTCAAATACATCGCTAAACACGCCACCGACGAGCTCAAGAAATACGACCGTTCCGGGGAGAAGAGAGACGCGAAGAGCGAGCTTTAAGTGCGGCTGTAATCTAAGTTATCGAAGGAATGAAGACTGCGAGGAGAATGCTGACTCGCTCAGAGTTCACAGTTCATTGATGCCAACCCCGTGTACACCTAGTTCAACACAACCAACAACAACAACAACAGAGAACAACGGCGACAGAAGCATCAGCGATTGCGTGCTGCACGATTTTTTTTCTGGAATCCCTCCCATGTCTTTTCAATGCATTGTGAGTGTGAATTTATCAAGGTTTCGCTTTGGAAGGGAATATCAGCAGATGCAGCCATCGCAGGTATTTTTTCAAATAAATGAATCACTTGTAAATTCAGAAGTTCCCCTCTCGTTTTCCATTCCCGGAATCGATCAAATAACTATTATAGCTCTGGGAGAGAATCCCGAACCCGATCCGAACGACCGGGAGGATACGAGGGCGGCCGTTCGATCAAGCATCACCTTTATTTTTCACATTCGAAATGCGAACATCGATATCCAATCGTGTGAAGGCATGGTTCTCTGTACATACCTAGATCGAGAATATACAAAGATCAAGTAATTTACATGAAGATCGATGTCGCGTTCAAGTAGGCTCTTGGAGTGCTTTCGCGCAGAGCACGAGGATTTCTTCGGGGGTTTTCTTCCAGTTCTCGATGTGTTTCGCAACTTTGTTCCACTCTTCTCCGTGCCTCGGCTCCGCCGAGAGGAAACGTTTCCGAACTTCTTCTCGCTGCTCGGCGGTTCCGTGCAGCGTCTCGAACTTGTAGAAATAGGCCCAGGCGTCGCCGAAATCCTGCTCGATTTTGATGGTCCGATTGAACCACTCTCGGGCCTTACCGATTTTCCGCTCGGCCCAAAACAGTCTCGACACGGCCAGGAGAACACGCGGGTCGTGTTCACATTTTTTCAGAGCATCGACACTCTTCGACTTCCGACCGGGCCGCGCTTCCATAAATATCGCCTCAGCCCATAATCTTCCTGATGCGGGACATTCCTGCATTGCTTTGGCCATCATCTTCGATGCGATGTCCTTCTTATCAGCGCGGCATTCGATTCGAATGGCTTCGAGCCAAAGAACGTCGTTGCAGGGATTTCTCAGTCGAGCTTTCTCGATGACGGATCTCGCTTTGATCAGCATTCCGGTTTCTTCTTCGAGATTCGCCAGGAGCACCCAGAGCGGAACGGAATCGGGGCACGCCTTGATCCCTCGACCGTAAACCTCTTTCGCCTTATCGGGTCGTTTCAACTGGCACCATATCTGACCGTACATCATCCACAGCTTCGCGAAGTTCGGATATTTTTCAACGCCCGTTTCCAGGATATCGAGAGCGGCCTGCAGTTCGCGACCTTTCGATTCCGGGCGCGAGCCCAGCGCCCACTCGAACTTTGCGGCTTTCATGAGCACACGACCCGTCGGTGCCGACTTCTGAGCCTTCGCAAGGAGTCGCCGAGCGCTGTCGTATTCGTCGTTTTCGGACTCGAGTTTCACGGCCGCCAGCCAAATTTCCTCAGAGTTCGGATTGGCTTTGAAGGCCAAGCTGAGGATGGATCGGGCGGCGGGGACGTCACCCGCTTGCCATTTGCTCTTCGCTCCCATCAGCCAAAGAACTTCTGCTTGCGGACAGTAGGCCACAGCTTTCTGCAGGAGGGCTTCGAGCGTTTCTTTGGTGCCATGATTCTTCTCAAAGAAAGCGGCACGCAACCAGATACTCTTCTTAGCGGGGAAGACTGCCAGCGCGTGACCGTAGATGGCACGCGCACATTCCGGAGCGCCCTGGTTCGCTCTCTGTTCAGCGTCGGCCAACCAAGTGTGTTTACGATCTTCGTCTTCGATGCCGATCTCGATAACGCTTTCAATGATGGCTTGACACGTCGCGATGGAACCCGCTTTTTCAGCCTCGACCGCGTCCTTCATCCACAGCTCCCTGTTAATTTCCACTCCGTTGTCGGAGAGGGATTTGATTGATCGTTCGATAATTTTCCGGACCATTTTCGAGTTCTTGTTCGCCTCCTCTAATTTCGCAGCCGTGATCCAAATCTGTCGATCCGTCGGTATACTCTCTCGAGCCTTGTTGAGGACTTTCCTCGCATTCTCATACGTCTCCAGACGAGCCAAGGCTAACCACAGCTCGACGCTCGTCGGACAGCATTCTACGGCTCGCGACAGGAGGATTCTTGCGTCTTCGGCGTCCTCCAACTCCACAGCGTTCTTCCACAGCCGGACGGAATTCGGGATTTGTTCGAGAGCCTTGCGATAAACTCGTTTCTGGAGACGTTTCTCCGTCTCGAGCTCGGCGGCTCTGATCCACAGTCGAACGGAGTGGGGCAGTTGTCGAACCGCTTGAGCGATCACGGATTTCGCCATGTCGGCGGCCTGGAGTCGTGCGGCTTCGAGCCATACATCCTCGGAGTTTGGACACATCTCCGCTCCTTCCATTATGAGGTTTCGGGCGTTCTGGAGCTTCCCAGTGACTTCCTCGAGACGAGCGGACGCGATCCACGCCGGTGCATGGTTCGGATTCGTCTCTCTGACCGATTTGAGCAGGAGCCGGGCTTTCTTGACGTCCGAGATATCCGCGCCGTGGTTCGGAATCATCGACTGCAAATCGGTCAAATAACCCTTGGGGTCTACGACGGTCTGGCCCGACACGGAATCGGAAGCTTGCGTAAGCTTGATGTCCATCAATGTATTTCGGGCCTGACCGATCTTCCGTAGATCGAGCTCCCCTGAAGCAACTCCCGGGAAGGGCGAGGCGAGACCCGTCGCAGGATCGATCGCGTTCACCCCTTGACCACTAGCCAGGGCTCCCGCGAGAACGCTGTCTGGCAACGGCGTGAACTTTTCTGTTCTCGCGTTCCGTTGTTTTTTATTGCGAGCATCTCCCACCTCCGGAATCGCGTTCCATTCATCTGTTGACACATCTGAGAGCTGTCGTTTGAGATCCGAAAACTGCTGTTGGATCTTCGGTCGCTCCTGACGATATTTCTCGATTTCCACCCGGAGTCTCGCTTCCCGATAATCTTTGCGCCTCTCGTCCATGCGCTTGTCCACCGCTTCGTATATGGCGTCGGCCTCCTCGTCATCTTTGTCGTAGGGATCCTTGCTGAACAGTGAACCGCCGTACCCTGAAATAATTTCAATGATCTGCTTAGCTAACTTTCCTCGCTCGCGCCAAACGGAGGGGGGGGGAGAGTCTGACGGACTGAGGGAGCAATGCGACACCCACCCCGTATGATGGAAATTCACTCCTCGGAAGTATCTAGGGATGGAGCATGTTGAGCTTACCATTGAACTCGTCGAAGTTGGCATCGTTCAAGTCTTCGTCGTCATCATCGTCTTTTCTGGACTTTTTGGCAGGCTGCTGTCCATGTCGGTCGTCGGGGACATCTGAGCTCTCTCTCGCGGGTCCTATATCTGATCTGTAGATGAGAATCGCAAAAACGTTAAATCAATTGACGTTCAGATTTGCGAGCGTGGGTCGAGGATCTCGAGGAGTCAGAGGCGCTAATCGATTCGTCAAATAGGTCGCCCAGGATGGATACGTAGAAGGACCAATGTTGGGGACGCTTGATAGGAATCCGATCTCAGGACAAGAAACTCCGGAGGCGTCTCGCGGAATCCCGGAGATTCTGAGCTCTAATATCGACGAGAGTATCGAGAAACCTTCTTACCGGGTGGTGAAGCCTGTCGCTCCTCGACCCACTCCAGCAACGTATCCTAAGGGCGCTTGAGACCCTAGGAAGAGCTTCTTCTTCATCGTGGTCCCGGGCGCATGCATCCTGTCGAGATTTCGAAATCGGGGTAATTTCGAGAACCTTTCAAACTAGGACCAGGGGGACCCGTGTTTTGTTTAGCGGCGCGCAGACGAGTTCCGCTGGGAGAGGCGCAAAGTTTGAATCAGGCATACCCGGCAGAGCGCGGATCGCACTGACTGAGTGAGCCCGTTGCCCTCCATTCCATCCTCTCGCGCGGCAGATCGTAAAATCACCTGCGACGGGAAAAATATCGCGCCCCAGGACTCAGAAGGTCCCTCCAACTACAGGGGATGACGTTTCTTGATCCCGTCGTGTATGACTCCCCGAATCCTGTGACAATGCCACACAGTCTCAGACGCAGCTCGAATCCTGAAGCTCCCTCCCCGGAGGCTAGCTAGGTTTAAATCGGACGCTGCATTCACCAATTTACGGCCTGGGCGCGAGTCTCCGCTGTACCGTGACTTTTTTCAGTATGGGGGGAAACCTTGCTGTACTCCCTGGTCTCCCTCGGAGAGTAGGTCGGGAGCGCCGGACGCCGGGCTCCTTGCGAGAACGCTTGCGAGCAGCGTTTGGAACGAGCAGCAGAGGATTTTCCGAGAATCGGGTGCGAGTCTCGAGAGTTCTTGATACCGGATGATCATTACTCGGCCGTAGAGAGTCACCGATTCTCACCCCTCGAGATCGGGAAACATTCAGACACGAAGCGCGTCGATTCCGGAGATTGAGGACGCGATAGCGGGCGGAGCGTGAAGCGTGATTCGAGCCCTTATGCTGTGGAATTGAGTATCCCATGAGACGCCTGAGGGGCCCCAATGTCGAATTTCACTCCCTCTGCTCATTAAAATTCAAGATACTAGCCTTCGGAGTTCCCTTCTCGAGCTCTGTCGCGCCCACGAGCATTTCGAAATCGTGGACACGGTACTCTTCAAAATGTTCTCGGTCTTTTACTTAACGGAATACTCTAGAAAAATCGATCAAAATTCTGACAAACAACGAAATAACTTTGACAGAAAGCGACGAAGTCGAAAATACTGCATAAACGAGAGCGCTCGGCCACGATGGCTGCTCTGGAGCCCGGACCGAGGGTGTTTTTTCCTGAAACGACTTGCGATGAACAATTACTGGATCCCGATAATCCTCAAGATGGAGCTATACTCAAGCGAGTCATCACGAAGAAACTGCATCTCGATCCGGGAAACGAAGCCTTCCTGAACGATTTCGCTGAAAATCTTTCAAAAACCGCTCTAGAAATGCGAAAAAGCCAACGGAAGAACGCGGTGGGCGGGGATAGCGAAGTTGGCTCTGCGAACCGCCCAACGATCGACCTGACGATTTCTTCGTCTTGTACGTGGTCTCCGACAGATTCTCAGTCAGAATCTTCCGAACTTGCCGAGGGACTCGAAGAGGGTCAGTACTCCGTGCAGGCTCCCGTGTCGTGGATAATCAGTCTCTGATGATTATCGCCATTGGCCCGCGGCTCGTCAACTGACTCGTTCCGATAGTACGATAGCTGCTTCAGTGAGCCGAGAGGAAACTCTATGCGTCACCGCAACGTTTTCATTTCCAGATATCCATCGAGCCTGGAGCCGATGGCAGCCCTCGGTCACCAAGCTCTCCACGATGATTGCGGAACGAGTGCACCACTTTATGGATGGCGAGCTGTCTCAACGGATTTCGGACGAAATAGAAAAGCAGCTGAGCAGGCAAATAGGTGGTGGGCGAGCAACCGAGGAATCCGGAAAGGAAATCCCGACGGGGAATTCCAGGGAAAGTAAGAAGTCCAAGGACGAGCAATCTCAGAGACTGCGGGGGAAAACGACGAGGATCACTGACTCGAGTTCAGCCGCGACATCGAGGGAAGGGAGAGCAAGATTGCCGGGAGTGGGTAGAGCGACCGATGCTGACAACCTGACCCGTCAACTCCGGAGCCCGTCGATTCTTCGGTCGTCGAGTGAGCGGAACACGAATAGGTCTCGCGTACAAATCAAAGCCCCCGAGGCTGCTTTGAAAGACCCTCGAGATGTCGAAGATTTCCAGAAAAGAGCGTCCGCGTACAAAGCCAGGTATCCGAAGGACAGGATGGCTGTCTCGCCGAGCTTCATTTTATCGTCTTTGAGCGAAGATAGACTCCGCGACGACATCAGCGAGCAAAGACCATCGAGGCACGTTCGAGGTCCGTGGGTACTGACTCTGTTGGTGGTTCTGTTCGTGCTCAATGTGCTGACCTGGAGGCAGATATCGCGGCTCGTTGGTCGATCGAGTTAGGCTCACTCAGCAAGATTCCGTTCGAAAGGTTGTGAGAGAAATAAGAATGATGAAAATTGACAAATCCACGTCTCCATTATTTTATTATTCCTTCAATTCCTCGAGTTCCACGACAGCGTCGGAGTCAGGAATTGTAGAGGAGAATCCCATCTGAATACGCAATGCTGATAATTGTTAATTAATCGATATACATATAATAATTATTGGGAAATTCATAGTGAATTTCTACCGCGGAGGGAATGAACAATCGCGCATCCGGTCGATCATTCGGTCGGATGGGGGAATCAGTCCACGAGAAAGAAAAACCCAAAATTCAAACGGTGTCCTCGCTGATTCGAGGTCACCAATCAAATTTATTCGACTTGCCTGAATTAAGTGACAGTCATTATCATGCCTCTCATGGAAATTCGAATCTCAATTCTCCTCGAATACGGTTGGGCTCGGAGGATGGCCGGTGCTCCTCCCGCCCGCTCAAGGTTCGGATACACAACCCTCACCTAATTGTAAGAGGATTCGCGAGCCAAGAGACCCTCATGAGGGCAGCATCTCGTTGTAAGCCTAGTCTCAGCTGTCGGAATCGTAAACAGACTTGACGGAGCCGTCAGCGACAGACGAGGTTCCTCGTTTTGACGGGAGCCGCGGTCGGTGGCTGACGGTAAGTCAGTGGACTTGTTCCTCGCTCTGTCGCCGTCGATGATGTTATCGTGTATCTAGTCGGGAGCAAATGTGTCCGGGGCGCTCTTGACGAAAATCGGCCCAAATAGGCTCGCCGAGCCCGCAACAACATCCACCATCGCCACCAACGACTCGGAGCGGGTAGGTTTCTGCTTTTCGAACACGTTCTTCTGTTTCAAGTGAGGTTGCTGTCATTCCGCCACCGTGGCGCGACCAGCTGATGCAGCATCGCTCATTCGCTGCTCGGCGGAATCGTTTCCTAATCCTCCGCAGTGTGACGGTGGGTCCTTGTGAGACCAATCCGTTGTCGCCGGTCGCAGGGAGCGCGACGGTATGGGAAAGGAGCCGAAGGAGTAAAATAATCGTCGGGGTACGCCCGTCAAATGGGGTGCGGAAACTGAGCCACGGTCGAACCCAGCTTTGAGGGAACATGGAACCACCCCTCGGGCTGCTCCCCCTCCTGCCCTAGCTGGGTCCATTTTGCATCGCGAGAGCAGGACTTGGAACAGATCAAAGATTTATGGGATTATTCTTCTGCTAGTGATCAACCAGCTGTGCTCGAAAGCGATAAAAAAAGGTACTCGACCGCGGAACTCTTGAGATTTTTCATCTGATGCTCAAGTTCTTTGTGAATCTATATGACGAGTCCTGCTCGTGGTGTACGGGAGGAGTGACCGCGGATTCCCGTACGGAATGGGGTCGGAGGTTCGGATGAGGACGCGTATCCTGAAACCCTTCCGGGGGTTTCCGTGAAGTTCCGTGCTGATTTTCCGAGCTCCCAGGACGAGTTCTGGCGTAGGGGAACCACTTATGCCACTCGCCTCCCGTACCCGCCGTATCATCCACATAGATTCTCATTGAGATCTCAGATCTCGGAACTTCTGCGCGACGAGCCTTCTCTGTTCCACGGCCTCATTTCCTCCTGGCTCTTGTTTTGAAGGAGTATCATATCCTCCTCATCTTTCACCTCTCGTCAACGTCGTGTATCATTATCATCATCCATCATCATATGAACGCTTGCTGGAGTTACGAAGAAGAAAGACAGAAACAGCTTCCTGCAAGTCCCCTTCAACTGGTTGTTCCCTTTTCACCTGGCCAAGCTCTTTCCTCTCTGGAGCCCCGAGCCCCCCACGCAGCGGCCTAAAAAGCATTTGGGGTTAACTCCACCCATACGCCACCCTCGTTTTCTTGCTTGATCTCAACGCTGTGTTCCGTTTCTGGTATAGGCTGCTGCTGCGCGGCATAGCATCTAATGGCTGCGGAAGACGGCACCACTGTTCTATCGGACGAGGACGAAGAAGTGTGTGCTCCCATAAGTCTCCATGGAACATTGTGCAAGTGGACCAACTACATTCACGGCTGGCAACAGAGATACTTCGTTCTCGCGAATAAAACGCTCAGCTACTACAAGTCCGAAAATGATTCCAGCTATGGCTGCAGGGGAGCCGTCAGCATACAGAAAGCCGTCTATAAGGTGGGTGTCCCTTCTCTTTTTTTTTTCAATGTTCGCCAAGAGTGACCTGGGTTATGAATTCGGTTCTTCGGAACGTTCGTCCTCAGAGGTCCCAAACTATTCATTCAGACGCTCTGAAGAGACTTGTTAGGGAGTTTGCGCGCTCGGCTCTCGCCCGTAAAAAAATTCGAATCCTTCCGATTAGTGGGAATGAGATCCGCAGAATCGAGCTCGCTCCCGGATGACCTGCTCTCGACAGAAGCTTGACTACACATTTCGATGGAAAGTGCGCGGACCAATTGATTCAGGCGGTGCTTCGATGAATCGATTCATAACCCCCTCTTTCGTGCGCTGTCCGCCTCGTTTCGAATCGATCAGAGCGATTACGATCTGTGTGTTCCCTCTCACTCAATGTTTTCGGATCACACTCGAAACGATTCGGGGAAATTGAATTTATTCCCTCCATTTATCTTCCCTCCTGTAAACCATTCGATGATTTCTGAATATCACTGACTCTGGAATCTAAAACGAACTTTGTTTCTCTCTTCTCGGAACAGCCCCATGAGTTCGACGAGTGCCGCTTCGATATCGGGGTGGTCAACGGGGACATGTGGTACTTACGGGCCGATGACGTCGGTACGAGGAACAAATGGCTCGAAGCCATTGAGAGTCATAAGAATGCAGACAGGTAAAAGTCTTTCAAGTCGATCCGTTATGGATGCAGCTGTGACATGCATGCATATGTTTTGCGATATATACCGTATTGGTAGGATGATTTCAATCGTCCGGATAAGTTGATCCCCTCGCTCAGTTGCTCCTCCTCCGATTGGAGTGAACATGAATCCGAGAGGAACCTGCCGACCCGTGGGATGAACGGACGACTAATCGAGGTGTTGACGGTTGCAGCGCTTACGGGAGCGACAACTCCCTCAAGCGTCACGGGTCTTCGATCTCGATCGGTTCCACCATGTCTCAGACATCGGTGAGCTCGCGGAGGACTCTCATCAAGGAGAAGCTCAGCGAGATGGACACTTTCAAAGGCATCCTGTCCAAGCAAGTGGACAGTATACAGGTGAGTCCCGGAGTATGTGCGCTCATCTTCGGAATTCTCCCACCCTTCGCTAAATCCTCTAGGATTCATTCATCGCCCGTGTTCGACAGCCATGACTCGCCTCAATCGTCACCAAGTCGGATGCATTGGACTCAGCCGAATGAATTATGATTAATTTCAGTCGTTGTACGACGGGCTTGCGGCTGTGGCTGAGATTCCGCCCGCCGTTTCTGATATCGACGTGAAAGGCGAAGCGATGACGTTCAAAGCCACAAGTCACGCACTACTCACAGCCTGCACTCAATGTGTCGATCTAGTTAACCAGCACGAAGATACTTGGCGGAAGAAACTTGACAGGGTTTGTAATTTAACTCATAAGTCCGTAGCGTTACAACAACGTTGTGATACGATTCCTCTGATATTTCGGGAGCGTCGGCTCGAGAGCGAGAGAATCGTTCACCGGAACCGTAGCACCGGGATCCATTAATCGACTGATATCGCTCCCGGAGTTTGAAACGCTAACCCTTTCTTCCGGTTGTCAGGAGGTTGAACGGCGCAAGAAAGCAGAGGCGGCCGTGGCTGCTGGTCAGGCCTCGGACATCGTTCCCGCTGGCGGGGGAGGTCCGAAGAGGTCGTCTCTGATCAATTGTCCCGATATGCTAGAAGGTCCGCATTCACTGCTGAACGAGGAAGACTTCTTCGACGCGGTAGAAGCTTTCATAGAACAGAATGATCAAGAGGTCGAACAGAAACGCCAAATCAGGAACAAAGTTCGTTTGCTACAAGATCCCCTCCCCGAGACGGCGAAATCTCATCTACTCAGCAAAGAGGTGAGTCCTCAGTCTTTGGGAGCTCAGAGTTTTCTTGGATATGCAAAGTCCGTCTGTGAAGTTGCGGAGTGCCGTTCGTCGACGGAAAACTGACGACTGTGTTGAATTTTGAAGATCGAAGAAACCACCAACGAGCAATTCCGGTACGCCCTCATGGGACTCGGCGGTGAAGGAGGATGGCAGTTGTTCGCTGAGGATGGACTCATGAAGATGTATAAACGGGAACTCGAAGTCGATGGGCTTGTCTGCGATCCGCTCAAAGCAGTGCATGTAGTTAAGGTGAGTCGAAATCCCAACGGAGTCGGGACGGATCGCAATTTTAGAATCTCATACTGTTCGGCATCCCGGCTGACATCAGGTCTCGGATATACCTATATGCATACAAAGACCGAGACGGGAACTCCAGAAACTCTCGCTCCTGAATTTGAGACTATTCCCCTGTGAAGTCACAAATCTGTCATAACGACGGAATGCTCGGCTTTCCCATTTTCCCGGGAAGGAGAGATACTATGGAGTAGATGGTCCCTGTATCGGGATTATCCTAGACCAGATCGGCGATGGGCAATGTAGTAAGGGAAAATTCATCAGAGGGAGATAAGTGGATAGCTTCGCAGAGTTTCGGACGGAGAGGGCGGCGAAATTCCATGCGGACTCACGGGGATGAATGACGGCGCCAGCCCTCTTTTTGACTTTCTTGACTCCTTCGACCACGGGCGGACTTTGGGCTTGAGGGAATTCAAACATCAGATCTTCTCTCATCATTACTCATGAGAGCTCATGACAACACCCGCCCCTTTCGGTGTCAGAACATTAGAATATACATACTCAGCTTATTTGAGCTAGAGCGACGGAGTCCCGCACGTATAACTCGCTAAGCCTGGCGCACTGCGTGAAATGCGCGACAGTTGCCCGAACGAGCAGAGATTGAGAGCGAGGACAGAGAAAATCCGTGAATCTCCGACAGGTGCATTCGAGTGAGTCCGTCAGATACTCAGGTGTTCCCGGAATTCTATAATAATATTACTAGGCGTACGCGGAGATGTGGAGACGGCTGCGGGAACTTTCTGCTGGAATTAGAGGCTTAGACTGTCGGATATTCTCATGGTATCACAAGCGTGTAAAGAGAAAACTGGGCTATCGCACACCGATCGGAAAGCCTGTGTGCAGATTTTTCGTGTAAAGAGAATTCGCGACGGAAGCGCCAGATTGGCCTTAATCCAAGTCTAGCTTCATTAGCTTTCGTCTCTGGGATGCTTGTCTCGTGGCAGACCGGGACTTCCGAAGCTCCCGAGACGAGGTCCCCACAGAGGCCCAGCCAGTCGCAGTGTTTGGCTCTCCGAATCCTCGGATCCCACTCGCGAAAGTATTTGCCTATTCGCCTCCAACGGAATGATTTGCCGATGGAAGTCCTTAGGAGCTCGAGGGCCTCCCATACAAAAACTCTGAGAAGTCCCGCCGACGAAATCCTTTTTTTCTTCCAGGGAGTCACGGCTCGGGAGATGTGCTACTACTTCTTCGCCCCGGAAGTTCGTTACGAATGGGAAACAACTCTAGAATCGATGAATGTTGTTGAAGTGATCGAAAAGGACAAGACCTTGGTTTTCCATCAAATCCACAAGCGGGTTTGGCCTGCTGCTCAGAGAGATGCGCTCTTCTGGTCTCATATGGAGCAGATGGACAAAGAATGCAAGGCTAGCGGAGATCAGCTCGGTCCCCCCGTCAGCGGCGACCTGTGCAGCACGTGGATGGTCTGTAACAAGTCGTGCGACACCCCCGAAATTCCTGTAAGTCGATCCGCCGCTCCATCGCCAGCCCGGCTCAGACCCAAAAACGAATTACTCTTGGGATCGAGAGAACCTTCCTGGCGATCACCTGCGCTGGAAGTCGCTTCGATCTTTGTGGGAGACTCTTGAATTCCACCGTGATAATGAAATCTCGTGCAACCTCTCCGTGAAAGGGGCACTGAGAGAAGGAGACAACCATGAGACGGACTTGAGAACTGTCTTTATTGGGATCCTCATTCTGGCCAGCGGTGTCTGTGCCTGTGATTCCGGGTTCTCTGCTCGGGAGAATTCTTCTGCGGCATACGGGCGAGATTCCCTCAGAGCTCATTGCAGAAGGCGCCGATAGCCACAACCTCCTAATGGACTCTGTCCCTGCCTCCGTGCGGAGAGTGAAGATTTGTTTCTGTGCATCTTTGAAGTTGACAATCATCCCTGAAGTCGCTCTCGCATGGAAGCCAGGAATCCTGGATTGTCCTGGCTATATATCGAAAATAGACCTGAGCTGGTCGTCCAATCATTTTATTTTCGATTTCAAGTTCCCCATACTCGAGGTCTCCGCTTTTGGGTTGCGGACTCTGGGTTAGCCCTTAGCGGTTCTCTGCCGTAGGATGTTTGACTTCGGCTGGAAACCGCGCTTAACGAGCCCAAAATGTCGACTTCGCTCCTTGGGGGACTTCTGTGGCGCCGGGAGAGATTGACACAGAATTTTGAACGTCATTGGTCGTTTGAAGGGAACGAGAGAATCATTCGACCGTGCCTTCGCCGAACATAGCGGTCCCTTCGGATGTTCTGTCGTCCGTGTGAAAATCAGGTTGTTTAACAAAAAGCTTACGATTCGGACCACTTCCGGGAATCTAGCGAATCATTATTCTGATTATTTCGATTATGATCGTGATGAAGGCCCCCGGAGCGGCGCGATTTCATCTTCTCAGGCTCGCGCATCTTCCGGCCTCAATGATCGGAAATCGACCACAGGTTGATAGCGATCTTCGGGAGCGATGTTCTCACTGAGTTCGAATAACTTTCCAGGTAGGGAGATGTCTTCGGGTGTTTTTGACGGTATGCCTCGTGGGCCAGACGTATGTCGTCGGAGATCCTAAGAGCGCCACTCGAGACAAGCTCACCACTCGCATTACATATTGCTCGTCGAGTAAGTATGAATCCCTCATAGAATGCGCATGCTAATTACTGCAGAGAAACCAAGAGAAGTAACCGATTTGAGGATTCTTGGAATTCCTCTCGGACTCAATTCCCCAGCGAGGCGTAAACACTGTATCGCTCGGAGTTTCAAGGAGCTTTGAGGCCGCGTATCGAGCTCGTGGTTTGGGTTCAGGGACCGGTAGACCGATCCCGCTCCGGTTAACATGGATAGTGCGAGAGAGGCAATTAAAAGGGATTCTGATGAGTTTTTCCTACATCCGCTATGTAAATTAATGGTCGGAGAGGGACATTGAACTCCTCGCTCGCCATTTCGTTAGCTAACCCGCCGATGCAATCGGATGCCTCGTAAGCCAATGCCGCCCGCAAATTACGACTTCGAGCCTCCAGCTCGGAGTTCACATCGAGTTCTCCGTTGTAATTCCCGCGGCCGCGGGTTGGAAGGAAAGCGACTATTAACGCATGCTCATCTGTTTTTCAGTCAACCCTGGGGGATGGGCGCCTGCCTCTGTATTACGTTCGATCTATAAGAGGGAGTATCCAAAGTTTCTTAAAAGATTTACCCTATATGTTAAAGAGCAGACCGAGAATAAACCGATTTTGTTCTGATTTTACACGGAATCTCGAATCGTTGAATCTCTTCTTATCAGCCTGGGAGGCCACCGGCCCAGAGGGAAATCGAGTAATGGAAGATACCTTGATTTCCGACTGTGGCCGGCGCAATTGTTCAGAAATCATAATATGTGTTATGTGTGAAAATCGTTGCGCCGCGTAGGAGAGATTCCACCCAGGAGAGATTCCGAACGGAGAGATGTCGGGAACCAGTCTCGATTCGGTGACTCCGCGAATCGGTACCGCGACTTTAGGCGGCTCGCTCATGCCTAATCCCGAGACCATCGAGCTGCCTGATGCGGATGGATCGGGGTTTCGAGAACCCAACAGCGTTGTGCTAGACCTCGTGGTCGACCTTCGAGGATGCCCGCGATTCCCGAGAAGAAATGTGCCGGCGCAGATCACATGACTAACTATTGTATCACGTGGTGCGCTCTTCAACACACCGGCCTTGGGGCTTTCCTTCGTCCCTGTTGTATTTCAATCCTTTCCCGGCCTTTGGGCTCCATGGGCGTTTCCCTTGAGGGATAACCCGATCAAAATTTTCGTTCCTTCTCTCCAGGCAGCCTTGAGAGCGTAGACCATAATATTCATAACGTTGTCCGTTCGGATGAAGACCGAACCGGTCGCTTGTCCCGAGCGCTACCAAAGTCGGGTGATCTGATTCCCAGATATTATCTCGAAAGAGGAAGCGGGAAATAAAATACTAGATGGCTTGAGATGAGGAGGGAAAGTTCCACGAGTAAACACAAGCGATCGTCCGATCAATTCGAACAGCATCCCGGGGACCTGCGGCAGACGCTCGCGAACTTTATAGACATTTCTTAGAAAACATTTCACCTTGAGAGGCGTTGGAGGAATTCCGGAGGAAAGCCAGACCCGTTGGGGACATGGAGAACGCAAGATCCAATCAAGCGCTGTGCAACGGAGTGGACAAAGTCCTCGGTGGATAGAAACTCATTATTGAGCCATTTTTAGCGGGCAGAACAAGGAGCGCGACGGGGAGGAATTCAAGATCGAGTTCTCTATCGACGCAACGAGAAGAGGAAGGTGTTCACCTGCGCGAGTTTGTCCGTACCCTTCCTCCGATTCATTAAAATTTTCCTCCCACTCTCCGGTCGGAGTACTCATCCAGTCGAGACGAGGAGGCGATTGTACCGATCGATGGAAAGATCGAAAATGAGGGGAGCTCAAGCCCATGAGCCCCGAATGCCCACCGCTGATGTACATATCTGCCCGTCGCTTGGTCTCTCAGTTGCCGTTTTTGTGTCGTGATATTCATATAACATGGTTAAGTTTGTATATAGCGTCAGCGTTCATCGGTGCACGTCTCAGGTTTGGAGCATGTGTGGGATGACCGGGATGGCGAGTTGAGTTCCATCCCCATAGATTAGAAGCTGGGGGTCAGCATACCTCGGAATCCGGCGTAAAGGCACAAGAAGTATACGAGGAACCGATGTTTGGTATCCCACGCCGTATTTCAACTAAAACTAGGGACATGGAAGAGATGACGGAGGAATACGGCGAGCTACGTTGAGCCGAACCGGCCGCCTATTTCCGAGCGAATGGTTCTCCCACTGGAGGACGGTGAGCAAATATGTATGTATGAGCTGCACGCAACCAATGCTTCCATTATTAGTTCGTTGGTGCAGGAGGCCTACTCAGGCCTACTTTAGCGATGAAACCCCAGGAACTAAGACGAGAGAGATTACGGAGCGAGACGCAATCGACGAGGAACAACCCGCGATGCGACTCACACCGAAACTGGAGCCGAGAGGTACCGGAGACGCAGAGCTTGCGAGCGTTCATCTGCTCAAACACCCCTCCCCGGATTCACCTCCGCCCGACAGAACAATAGGTCGTGGAGCTGCACGAATTACCGTTCTAAAGGAAGAGCGCTCCTGTGGGGTCCCGTGCCGCGTGACAGAACGCAGGATCGCTGAGTCTACTGATCGTTGGCGCTTCGCAGCCCACCGGGCCGCGCAGCCCAACGGAGAGACGAAATGACAAATGCAATTCGTGGGCCCTTATCCTCGAAGACCAAATAACCTCTGACATAGCCTGCGGCGGGCGGAACTAGTTTTGTTCCTTTTCCTCATACAGCCCCAATGCTACGCTGTTTCTTCAGGATCCGAGCTTTGCCTCGCGGATATCTTGCGTTGATCGAGGAGAATGGAAAGTTTGTGAGCTTTGAATCCCCCGAGACAGATAGAAGCCCGGATTGAGAGTCGGAGTTCTTGATGGCGAAACATCGATCTCCGGCATCGAGCTCATCCGCTACAGCCATCGTTTATCGACTACGCGAGACGGGCCCGCCATATTTTCTCTGAGCGAAGACGAAACTCGTCGGATGTCACGCAATTATCTCTCGTTTATCTATCATTGAGGATTTTGTGAGAATATTCCATACAATACATAACTCAATAAACGAGTGCACTCAGTCAGTCGGATGAAGGTGCTGCCATGGGGCAGACCCCGCGGTCGTGCCATTCGCGGTGTGAGCGTGCCAAAAGCGTATATTCGAGAAAGAACACGTCTGCGGATGGAGGAACGGAGTTTTCCCGCGTATGCAGGACCGTATTGCGGTCATGAGCGCCGGTACGTTTCCGTGACAGCGACTCAGCAGGCCAGTTCTCACCGCAGTCCTACGCCATCGGGAAAGATTGAAACGTGCCATCGTACACTGAAGGCTAGTCGGTCTAGTGTGCTTAAACCAACGCGTAACTTGAGGCTTTGACCCGGAGCCCGGATCTTCGGGGGATCGCTGATCGCAGAGTAAACCGGATGAGATATCCGATCGGCTTTGCCAAACAGCGAATTTCGGGCCTCGGGGGGTGAGCAGAGAACTACGGGCGCAACTCACGTCGAGAAGCTCGACTCGCGGTCGAAGTCGATCCATGAGTGTCCCGCTCGGACTGAGTGTTTTCCCTGGAGTCGTCGACATCGCCGTTCTTTGTCCGCGGTTCAGTGTCGTTGGCATCGGTCAATATGAGCTTCCGGGAAAATTCGTCGACGCAGGCCTCTCGTTGATCTGAGCGGATGCTTCTGACCGGGCAGAAGTGTCGAGTGACAGATGCGAATCAGGTCGCCGGCAACAGCAGCACCGCCCCATATTTGAATGCGAGTCGCTGCTGCCATACACTTGAGTGGCGATGAACGAACGAGGACCTGTTTGCTTGCTTGTCTGCCAGCTCGCATGGGATTTAGCAGCGAACAAACTCTCCAGTCGCTGTTGCTTTTGCTGCTGTTTCGTCGGCGTTCGTCGTCCTCGGAGCCCAGACGAAACTTTCGACGAAACCTAGAGTTTTCCTTCCCTGCCCTCTTTATCGTCGGCTGTCGTTGATGTCGACGAGTTGGTTGTCGTTGCGCTCATAGGAATGCTGCATATAGCTCGCGCAGGGGTTAGTGAAGCCCCAGAGAGAAAGTTGTTCCCGGAAAGCTCCGCGGGGAACAAATCGTCCCCATTGTGACGTTCGGCAGCCAACAGAACTTCGAATCCATCACAAACGGAAATCTTACGAGTGTAAACATGTCAGTGCGTTTGTATCATCCCGCTACGACGGGATGCTACTAATGATCGAGCGCGTCGACTTCTCTCCCGAAGAAAAAAAATGCTGCTCGAAAGGCAGACAGGCGTGAGTAGAAATATTTCCTCGCTGCGAAAGCGAGAAATAATTTACAAGAGCGAATGTCCCCCGTATCTACCTCTTCGCAGACCTCAGAACCCACGCGGACGTTTCGGGTCCCAACACGAAGCTGGAGTGGAAGGAGATCCACTCGCATCTGCATAAGACTCGATCCGCTATGGGGATTCCGAAAATATCCCGGGAAGGGAGTAATTTTATTCAGCCGGACTGAAATAGATCCCTCGAGGAGTGTCGGAGCGATCCCGTTACAATTTCAGAGCTCTACACCTAGGATTGAATGAACTGGGCGAGCCCTACGTGAGGTGAGCGGACTTGATGCCGTCCTACCGAATCGTGAAACCAAGCGGGGGTGGGTGTCGTGTGATGGTGTCGGGAAAAGGTGCCAGTCGGGGAATTCTAGCGTGTTCAAAAGCCCATTCACGGTGCCTCGAGATTTGAAACACCCTGGGGGCGACGGCAATCTGGAGGGGAGATGAGACACGAGAGGATATGGGAGCAGGGGATCAGGATAACAGGGACGGTCCCAGGGAGAGATCTCAGAAATGAAGAGCAGCGGGGAGAGGCCAGGGAAGGGTTGCGTAAAGAATGAAGAATGAGACGGAGCTCCCCGCGGTTTCCAGCATTGTCTGTGCATACCGAAGCCCCGGATCTCCCGTAAGCTCCTTCCCAGCTCTTACGCGGAATGAACCGAATGCATCGGTGCCCAACAGTGAGGCGAAGCCGAGTTGCCACGCAGCAACCCCGCACTTGATTTTGGTTTCCCGCCGCATACTTCTTCGGCTTTTTTTCTCGTTCGTCCCTCGTAATCCGCGCAAAGTGGCCTTGAGAGCTTGTCTCTCTCTTCACTCGGATAGACTCGGATGCTCTTGCCTGTTCCTGCCCTCTGGCGCTCCTCATTCCTCTTCGCCACCGTCCGTCCTCGTCGTACGCCATTCCCTCAGTGGAGCCCCGGTGTTTCTCTTTTAGCGCTTCTTACTTATCCCCTACCCGTCGTTCTTCTCGGGGCTCTTTTCTTTCTTCCTGTTTCGGCTCTTTCATGTTCCCCTCGAGCTCCTTACTCTCTGTTGACCACTTCCGAAGAGTCCAAACGCAGACCCCTCGGGTCGAGCATTATGCTGCGCTTGAAAGAACGACGCGACGCTCTTAACTCCGCGCCAGGGAAAAGTCGCCAGGGCAGCGACTGCTCAGTACGTCGACGTAGGCGAACTCTTGCAAGGAAGGGAGCGATTCATTCAAGGAAGGTGGGGAATCGTTTCGTGAATATCCCGCAAGAGCGAGGAAACCCACGAGAGGGAAGTAGCCTGACGTGGAAAGATTCGTTCATTCGCGGTTCCTACTCTAACGAGTCCGACATGACCGGGCCGTGGGCGGGTTTGCGGGGGTGGGCTGTCGTCTAATCCCAGGATACAGATTCTCAGCGCGTGAGCGGGGAAAGCAATTGGGGACGAATTTTCTCAGCTCGTCCACTAAACAGACAGTGCACGAAAAGGGTGCTCCCAAGAATGATTCGATTAACCTCTACAAGGACGACGTTCTCTCTGTTTCGCGCTGCACGAACCAGCTCTTCGTGAGAACAATTTGGTTTGAAACCTGTAGGTCGCATCCCTCCCGCTCCTCAGATCATCATAAATATATCTTTGTGATCCATGGCTTCAATCAAAATGTTTCAACGACAGGACGAGTCATAATTGAGATTGCTCCCACTCGAATTGATATCATCGCTTACGTTGACGTCTGATCGCCCACCCGTTCCTTCGGTCGAGGTCATTCGTTTTCGTTTATCTCATCCGTTTCTCGGGAAATCGGGGGATTCTCCAGCAAGTACGGGAGCGTGCTCCCAGAGCGGAATCTCCGTATCTTGTTCACCCATGTGGAGGTAATGGTACGTTGACAAGAATCCCATGGAGTGAAAAATGTGGCAGGAGTGGAACTGTTTCCACGGAAGTCTCTTTGCGCTGCCGGGGAATCGAATCTATCTCAGAGTGCCGCCGAAGTCGCTCAGCATTCCATATTGAAGAGGCCTTTTATTTACAATCGGACTTCCCTCCGTCTCCTCGCGAGAATCTGTTTATCCTTATCGTGTTCCTCGTGCCAAAACGATTCACAGTCAGGATCGATGTCCCGTCGTATCTTCCAGTGCCGAGTCGTTCACTGCAATTTTACGATTAGCTTTTACTACTGCATTGAATTCTATGTCGTCCGGAGGGTGAAGGCTCTTTATAACGAGTAACATGCGAGCGATCGCTTTAATGCATCGATGGCTCGAGCATAGATACTGACAAGGGAATGTAATCGGGTCGAATTGCGACTCGACGTTTTCTCTTTCGTTGACGAATAAATCTCGGCTGGAGCGTACTATGCCATTTGGAGGCATCCTCCGAACGCGATGTGTCAGATCAAAACGCTTCAGAAGCTCGGTTCGAGAATGCCGATGAGGTAGGCCTTTTTTAGGGGGCCAGTGTTCATTATTCGCTCTTCGCCGGTGTACGGAGTGGAAGTTTCCCGCCAGGACGATGCCTCCATCGTCGCGCTGGTGGCGGGAGCTTCATTGCTGAAGAGCTGAACCAGTCAGACGACAATTCGTTTTGTGTTCAGGGAGTCCGACATCCAATGACGTCAGGTGCCGCGGTGAGGCTTCGGATAGCGGAAGCTGGAGCAAATTCAATTTCCCACATCCATTTTCCCTACGGTCCTCCCAGCGAGTGGCTCATTTACCTCCTATCTCGCTCGGGAACAACGACGAACTCGAAAATCCCACCTTTGCATCGGTCGAGCCATCCATCGATCGCGCCTCGAAACGCCGTCTCCATCAAACACATCATTCACGGTCGAGAGACCGTAGTTTTCCTCCTCATGATCAAAGGACCTCGTTCGCAGTCTTCATCGGTACAATTCATCCCACGTGATCTTTGTGTTCACACCTTCACACCTATCGTGAGATCATCATGAGTCACCTCCGCATCCAGACCGCCGTCAGATGTCCATCAATAATTCTATCGAAATCCTCGCGATCGTTGATATCATATAAGCCACATCCGCGTCTGGAGCGTTCATTATATCTATGTGGACCATTCATTATCTTCGCCTGGATCAATCATTATCTCTCTCCGATACATAATTTATCATCTGTACCTACCTTCATGAATCATTCTCGCCATACATCTGCCTCATATTTTCATGATGTGTGATTTCTCCTCAATATCGAGCTTTATTCATCCAGTCAATCACCGTCTTCCGAGTCCGACAGCGAATTGTTGTTTTTCGGTCATTATTCTTCGACTGGACCATCCAATCTGACCGAGATCTGACCGAGGGCTGTTAATTGTGCATACCGCATATTTTAATGCATACTGCATATTCTGTCGATTTCAGAATTTTCATGAATACTTATTTTTATCCGTCATATGAGGTCCCATAAGTGGGTTTTCTATCTTGAATCGAGAGTATATCGACTCTCTATGACGAGCCGGGGCGGAATCTGTCGAAAGCTCCCCGAGTGCAGTACTTTCTGATAATTTCCGGATTCATCGCGGGTCTCCCTCCGCTCCGACTGCCGGAGTGCACGTTGTGGCTTATCGTCGAATGATTGTTTTCGCATGAACCGAAACTCTCCAAAGTCCGGAGCAATGGTGATCCAGTTGAGTGTCACAAACGGAATCTCTGTGATCTGGCAGCGCGGATAGGAAATCAGCTCATAGTGTACCTTAATGTTTCGTCCGGTCAACATCTTTATACCTCAAGATGCCGAAAGCGGAACCCTCCGCCACCGATCCAATCCGCATCGTTGGAACACCCACATTCACAGCCGATAACGACCTCATGTTGTGCAAGCTGTTCTCGAAATCATTCCCAGATGCGCGTTTTTTTACGATATAGCAGCATATCGAGACGAATAAGCTTCGGGACGCCCTGGGTCGTCGTCAGGCTGAGGCGGTCCCCGTAATCGAAAGGCAGCAGCAGCTCCTGGTTGAGACTATGAGCGGAGGTCCGAAAAGTAAATCCAACATGGACCTTTGCTCTGCATTCATGGCTGCGGACATTACACTACCTACATGAAGTTCCTCATCCTGTGTTGGAAAACTTCCTCGAGAAGTACACCGGAATGAAAGTATAGGACCTGTCTACGCTACAGCGATCGTACATGCCAGTGGTGCATGACACCGTCATCAGAAAAATCCGCGAATCTATTGGATCGTCTAAGGTCTGGATCTCTATCGACGAAACTTCGAATAAAGTAGGCCGTAGCGTTGCCAACGTTGCTGTAGGTAAACTAGACAAGGTAAGCTTCGGTCGAAGTTATCTACTCATGTGCGAGGTCTTTGAGAGAACCAATGCCGCGGAGATTTCGCAATTGTTCGTGAAATCTCTGGAGCCTCTGCGGACAGACAGCGTTCTCTACGAGAATCCACTGGTCTTCGAGACCGACGCAGCTCGGTACATGAGGAAAGCTGGAGCTGGTTTGAAAGTATCATTCCCTCAGTTGATACGCGTCACCTATGTGGCGCACGGCCTGCATAGAGTGTCCGAGCAGGTCCGCTCGCGCTTTCCGAAGGTAGATCAACTGATGTTGAGCATGGAGATGGTGCTTTTGAAGAGTCCCTCCCGCATTTCCCTCTTCAAAGCAGAAGTTGACCTGCCTCTTCCACCGAAACCAATTGTGACTCGCTGGGCAACCTGGCTTAAAGCGGTTGAATACTACGCAGAGGATTTCCAGCGTCTGAAGAGCTTCGTTTGTGACAACCTCCACGGATGGATGCAGCTGCTATTCGTCTATAAGCTCAGCATCTATCCGTCGATGCTTCTCTACAGGCTGGACTTTCTGCAATCGCATCGCACTCTTCCGGGATTCCGGACGCCATCACAGCTCTCGAAGCGCACGGGCTGCCCGTAGAGGAAGCTACGAGAGTGATCGAAAGTGTTCGAGAGAGTCTCTAGACACTGCCGCGGGAGCTCCTGCTCACACACCGTAAATTTGAGGAAGTTTTCAGCAAGAACACCGGTTTTGCTGAGTTGTGTCGTGTTCGCGATCTCCTCCGGGGACGGGCAAGTGAAGATGCCCCCGACCTACCAGTCGAGGATCTGATATGCCTTAAGTTCGCTTCTCTAGTATGTATCATGTGAAATTGAGCGGTCTTTCTCGCAGTACAGAAAAACTACTGCGAGACAACAGGCACTCATTCCTATTCGAAAATCTGAAGGACTACATCGTGGTGGCTTGTAAGAAGGATCTCTGATGAAAAAATCGTGCATATTTCCATGCATATTCGGTCCGGTTTTTCGTGCATACTGCCGGCATATCTTCGTTTTTTTGGTGCATATTTTGTACAGCCCGAGATCACACTACCGACACCGATCTCAATGTCCGATGTCAGCCGAGCGAGGCGGAGGAGTCGGACGAGCTCAACGTACCTACCCGGAAACTGCACGAGATTCGCCAGAAACCGCAAGAGCTAGCAATGAGGCTTCGGAAGTCACTCAGCTCACTCCGAACGGAATCCGCACGACCGGAGAAGGAATCGGGAGCGGAAGAGAAATCAGGAGTTGTCGGGTGCGGGCCGGGAGCAGTCGGTAAGGAGCAGGAAGTCGGCGAATCCAGCGGACTTTGATGAGAAGCCGACGCATACGGAAATCAGAAGCTCCATTGGGAGTGGCACGTCCGTGCAAGCGAGATTGGCGCAATTGGTTTGATCTGAAAAGCTTGATTTCCTCTCTAATTCTTCCTCATCTGGCGCTTGTTCGCGGAAAAAGTCGAAGACGACGGTCCTCACGAGCAATCCAAGTACCTACCTGCGGGCACGACTGTTGAGAAATAAGGGTCTTGTCGCCGTGCCTGCGTGGCGTCGTCGTCGACGGTCTCCCTGCCATGGGAAGACGCGCGCACTCGAACAAACATCTAAATGTTTTCCCCGTTTCCCGATGGATTTTTCCCCCACTAACCAATGAGCGAGAAAAAGCATCGATCCACGGAGCGGACAGACGGACCGATGAGGCTTTTGAAGCGAAGGCGACGGCGGCGGTGAAAAGGAACACCGTTTTGAAAGTAGGAGTCGGCCCGCGGTTTTCTGATAACATCTCTGCCCTCCTGTTCGTTCGGAGATTTGTAGTGGCGCTAAATTGTCGGCGGAGGCGCCGAAGAAGACGGAGAGAAAACGCAAGAGAGGGGAAGAAATTGGTTTGCCTCAAGTTTTCCATTTCGGAAAACTCTCCTGGAGAGATAGATCCCACAAGCACTTCCCCCACCTCCACACCCCCCGTCCCCCGCATCTCTTGCAGTCAGACATAGATTCCAATAACAGCTCTTCGCGGGCTCTCGCCCCGTTTCTCCGCGGTTTTCTCTCGCAACCAGACAGCCAGTCCCCCATCCTCCTGCCCGTCCGTCTGTCCGTTCGTCCGCCTGTCCGTCTTTGATGTTTTTGTGGTTTTGAGCGCAGAGAATAGAGGAGGGGAACCCGAAAGTTATTTAGGAGGGAAGAAGGAAAACTGGCGGTTGATTCTGTTTTCGAGAGGACTCGCTTGCGGTGCGGTGTGCTGTTGGCGGTCTCGTGTCCCGAGGAGGGAATTTACAACGTTGTGGATAGACTTCTACCTATGCGACAGAACAAACAGCGCACTTCACCGGCGCAGGAAAAGTATTGAGAACGGCAATGCCAAATACGGAGCGAGAACCCGATCGCAGCTTCTTGGAACTCCGGGCAGAAATGAATTCGTCTGCCCCTCTTGAGACTCGCGCGAGCGGGGAAACGCTACCGAGCTCCATTCGGGGGAGTTTCGACTCGGAAGAGAGAGAGCTTAACCACTGCCGGCGTCGGTTCCAAGTCCGAGACTCCTTCAGGTGTTGTTTGATGATCGTTCAAATAACCGGGAAGCTACAGGTCTGCGAGAGGAATTCTCTCGACTGAGCATCTCACAAACAAAATCTGTGTTGTTGGTGTTTTCCTTCGTTCTCGCCTTCCGGCGTTTAGGTGAACCGGAAGGAGCACGACGAGAGGAAGTCATGCATCGCGTGCCGTCGTATCCTAAGGAATAACAAGTGATTTTCCCGAACATCGCGGAGCGTTCTCGGCTCAGCTTTGCGCTCTGTAATGGGCTTCCTGCAGAGGGAGCATTCTCCGAAGCGGAATGTGCTACCGGGACAAGTAAGAATTCAATGGCGGCAATGAAGAGCCGTCCCGCGGAAAATCATCCGAAGAGGAATCTCGAGTGATGTCTGAAATCAACATCGACTCCTGAGGCAAGGACATGACTTATCACGCTGCGGATGTCAGCCAAGTCCCGCGGGACATTCCCGAGATCCGTGAAACTCTTCATCTGAGCCGAACGTTCCAGCTAATTAGCTGAGCGGGAGAGAGCTCCGAGGAACAGACAACCGGAGCTCCGAAAAAGCCGCTCCGTGCGCTTTGTGACGTCGCGCTCTCGAAGCTGAGGGACACTGATCCCCGGGACGACATCGACAAAGCAACAGTGTTCCTCGGAGACCGATCTCAGAAAAAGAGACCGACGGGTTTTACAAGAGCACATCGAACACGGTGTCGGAAAGCTGACTCCACCTTTGATTGATAGCGTTTCAATCGTTGGGAAAAAGTCCAAAGGGCAGCTTCTCAGGGAACTCTTCCTAGGGTTCCCGCCGGCAACTCAGATCACAATCCGATTTCGAGGTACGCCGGAGCATCATCACAAAGGTTTTTTTCGTTGGCGAGACACGCTCTGGAGACTTGGCGACATTTTGAACGGGTCGATGGATTTAGAGAAAACGACTCCGAGGTGGATTTGCGTCCTGACGAGGGCCCTGAGTATTCCAATGTCATCCCGGTGGGAATATTCTGACATCGAGGAATTCGATGCTCTGGGTTCTTTGTTGCATCGTTTTGAGAGCCCGAATCGTCTTTCAGGAGATTCACCAGTCACAGCAGAGCCCTTCCGCCTCTCCGATTGGTGTCGTCAAGAGGTGTGGAGAGTTCCCTCGGCCTCACGTGGCGATACTCGGGGTACTGTGTTTTTTGTTCGGGACCGAATTTGAGGGCTCGACGTTTCTCCGTCCGAAATGCGAGAAACGTCGAGCGTGAACTGACTGCAGTGATGAGAAATTCTCCTGACAAAACGGGGCCGAGTTTTCGAGTTCGGTTCTGAAATCGTTTGCGACCACGCCGTGCCTCTGTGGAACCGCGGTTCCTACTGGACACAGGAAGTTCCTGGCGACTTTTGAGAACCGAACGGAGTCGTAGTCACGGAACGCGGTTTTGCGGGTTAGCTGGTCCTCGCATGTTCTGGTTGCGACTCCAAGTGGAGAGCGCGCGTCAGAGCGACTCGCACCAAGGGCTCGGGCATCCGGGGGGGGGATACACGAGTCTGCTTTCTTGACGTGGAAGGTTTCGGGAATTGCCACGTCGTGGTGCTTCGCCGTAGTCATCCGGCATTATCTTCCTGCAGCGCTCAATGACGAGACACGCTGGAACGTGCATGAGACAGAAATACAAACGAGTCAGTTGTAGGACAACGCCGCATCGCGTAAACGCCTGTTCCAGCTGGTCACGACATTCCGCCTAACAGAGCCGAGCGAAAACGAACCTGGAACTCACTCAGATGATGCCGACCTTCCGTCGTCGCTAATTATGATCAACGGATGTTTGCCGCCGATGGTTTCTTCTTCACGAGGAAAGGAACACCAAGCGCTGCGTCAGAGTCTGTCCCTAGCTCTGATCCTTCGTTCATCGTGGCGTACATTGCCGAATTTCCTCTTAGTCAGTTCTAAACTCCGACAATCCATGAGGCTCCTGATAGCATGGGAATTCCGAAGGGGAAGATCTCACATTCTATTCGACAGCATCGGGAGAGAAGCCCGTGAGAATGGATTATGAAGCTTGAAGGAAGCTCCAAATGCGCAGTCGGAGTCCGCCCCCCAGTTTTGGTGTTCGATCGCTGGCCTTGATCTTTGCAGGATAAGATCAACCACCCTCCGTGCCCACATGTTTCGATCTCACTGTTTCTCATTTGGAACGTTCGAGAAAGCGACAATTACGGACAAGACTTAGTTTTACATAGCTCCGCGCGGTATTCTCTACTGGCATCTGTCTCGATTACTATCGCAGAGGGTGATTACGAAACCGAATATCACGTCAGGGATTCTCGGCTTCCAGGGACATCTCCCTGTCAGACGACGTCACGAAGCAAAATCTCGATTCGGATTCCCACCATCAGCTGTGGAAAATGTAGCGTCCGACCGAGCAAGCTTCTTTTCCGGTTCGACGAATATCAATCATCATCGCCTCGCGCCCGATTGTCTGCAGTGCCTTAGCCGGCGGCTCGAAAGTTTTCAAGACGGACGAAGAGAAGATGTCGAGTTGTCAAGTAACACGGCGACGCATGAGGAAGATGGAGTGATCTTATTTAGGAGTCCAGCGGTGGGCTGAATCCCACTAGCCCGTCATGGCGAACTTTATTGAAAACAGTGGGGTTCTACAAATGTGTCAATCAGTTGACGAGCTCATTCGATAGCGGCGATAGTATCCCTCGTCCCCCCGAAGAGAATTTTCGAGAGATCAATGCCGACGGAACGCAAGTCTTCGAATCCCAGGCCCTGAGTTTTGTAAGAAGTTCGCCGTCAGTGGAATTCTGATCCTGCTGATAATTCTCAGACTAAAGATGACCCTCAGCGTATCGTTTCAGCATGGATAGTGATCCCGTCAATCGAACGGTCAGTTTTTCGACCAGCCGCGCGAACAACGCCTCCTCGAAATCTCGCTCCCCAACAGCATCCGGAGCTCAGGTCGGGCGGAAGCATGAATCCGAGGTGGAATTTTCGCGAATGCCAACTCGAGATGCCGCCGAACGCGAGCAGATCCCGATAATTCGAATATTGATCTCCCTGGATCACCGCGCGGATAATTTCCGTGC